ATGATGCTAACATCACCTTGAAGGACTAAATTGAGAAAGCGTAATGGAAAATTTGGTAGAAATAAATCCTTTCAAGGAATTACAAAAATTAAAAATCTAAATATATTTCTCTCACAGGTATAACTCTTCCACAACACCAACAGGCATGATTCTATGGTAACCAAACTTGTTAACTATCAAAATATCAATTTCAATATCCATCAAAATTTGACAGGGATTCCTTACTATCTAAATTCATATTAACTTGTCACATAAATAATGTATTAACATTAACCTTTCAGTTTAGAGGCATTTGTCATATGATTTTGATTTCCTTCAATATAGTATTTGATTCCTATCTTTACTGTTCTCAATCTCAGTCAACTTTACTGAAGTAACATATTGTAGTACTTCACCAAGCAGCAGTTTATTTGATAATTTTTTGGAAGTGTGCCAATCTTGGTTAAGGTGTCCTGTTGGTTGTTATCATTACTCCTGTTTCAACTTGACACATTTACTTTAAAGATACATCTTTTTCAAAGTGTTGATTGATATAGTCACCCCAACCCTTTCTCCACCATCAAAAATATCATTAATATCTTGCAGACTTCTGATGGTACACTGGCACACTGTTTGTCAGTATAATGTGATCCACCTTTCAAACCAACTTCCAATTCATACTTTAGCTTCAATTAACACAAAAACGAGAAATAAGTTATGAAATATACTTTATATCAACATAATAAGGTTGTACAGTTTTATTAATATCACATATCCTAACATCTCATCACACTTTGACTATTTTCTACAACAAGAGATCCCAGAGGGATCTTGGCGCCCACCATTTGAGGATCTATTTTCAGTTCTTGAAGATTTGTTTATTTTTGTTTGTTTGTTACAGGTGTTGTAAATGTACTCAATGATGGCACAAGATACTTTTATTAAGCACTTATTAGCAAATATCACTTGAAAAAGATCCCAAAGTATTATTAGATAGCAGTCAGTTACAGGTGGATAATGGACAATACGTTTGTGCTGTATTACTGTCGACATCCAAGATGGCGGCCTGTGGGCCACCTTGATTTCAAATCAGCCAAAAAAAGGTACAGTGCACAAGTAGGGACCAAGGGAAACCAATATCTATGAAATATCAGAAGGATCCATCCAGTACTTCCTCAGATATAGCAGTAACAAGATTTTACTCTCAAAATCCAAGATGGCTGCCTGTCAGCCATTTTGATTTCGGATCAGTCCAAAAAGGTACAATGCACAACTTGGAACCAAAGGGAACCTGCATATGAAATTTGAGAAAGATCCATCTAGTACTTTCCAAGAAATAGCAGTAACAAAGTTTTACATCCAAAATCCAAGATGGCCATCTGTCGGCCATCTTGAATTCGAATCAGTCCAAAAAAGGTACAATGCACAACTAGTTACCAAGGGGAAACTGCATATGAAATTTGAGAAAGAACCATCCGGTACTTTCTCAGAAATAGCGGTAACAAACTTTTACTTCCAAAATCCAAAATGGCCACCTGTCGGCCATCTTGAATTCGAATAAATCCAAAAAAGGTACAATGCACAACTAGGGACCAAGGGGAACCTGCATATGAAATTTGAGAAAGATCCATCCAGTCCTTTTCCAGAAATAGCGGTAACAAGAATTGTTTACAGACGGACGACGGACGGACGACGGACGGACGACGTACCAGGGACGCAGGGCGATTTGAATACCCCACCATCTGATGATGGTGGGCTAAAAACCGATTCAAATGTTATGCTCATCAAACTTGAAAGGAAACCATGGAAACAGAGGCCAGAATATATGTTTAAGTAAGGCTAGATAACACAACAGCCTAGTTTTGTCATCAGTAAGAATAGACTACGCTCCAGCTATATGGCTCCTATTTGCTAACTACACTCAATAAATATTAAAACATATATATCTAATTCTATTACGTGATATTTTTTATATCTCTTCTTACACCTTATCAAAAAAAAAATTTCATCATACCTCTTCTATTGAGGAAGACAAGCTAAGTTTTATGATAATTTCTTAACCTGGGGAAAATTTGTAAATTTGGTTTGTCCAAAGGAAAGCCTAGTTTGAGCGAAAATAAAATGATCATATCCTTAAATTCTGTAACGCTTTCCCATGGAAAATGTGAATTTGTCAAATTTGCTCTAGTTAAGGTATAAGTGTGAAACTTGTGCCAGCTTCAAGAGTTATTCTGTAACAATTATCAACAGCAGGTTTGAAATCACCAACCTATTTCACAAAGAAATGATTTATAATACCACTAAATTCCACTTCAAAGCAATTGCATACCACCAGCCATTTTTTCTAATTTCTGTTTGACAGCCACAGCAAGCTACAAACCAAATTATTAAAACCTTCCAGTTACATAATAGAAATTAATCGAAAAATTAGACAAGAACTAATTGTATCCTAATCATACTGGAATTTCTAGACTGTGTTGCCAACTTAGCCTTTTCTTTTTAAAAATGGTGTTCCTTCAACAGAAAATGAATTGCTATGGCACAGTTTACAAATACACGCAAAACTCAAAGAAAATACACTAAATGAGAGGATTTTCTTGAGAGTGGCAAAAGAAGCAAGTCAACACAAGCGTAGATATTGGTTTGTAGTGTTATAAAAGGAAACAAATAAAACAGCTAGAATTTTCAAAACTTAATCTAAAAAATTCCCTTCAGCAGTCAATCCTATCACAACTGTTACTGGTTTTATCAGGTCTTTTCACTACAAGTTTAATTCATTGGGCTTTGAAAAGCTTCATACATTTGAATTTGCATGAAATGACCACTTTGCACAACAAAACGCTCTGTTAGGATAGTTATCTGAAATTCATCATATATTTCTTAACCATACAGTCCATGACTAAGATTTACAAAAATACATTCAATAATACAACACTTAACTAACCATATACAAATCTTTGGCAGAATTGAAAATATTGCACATTTTTTTTTTTTTTTTTTGCCTTTACGCCAGGCAAGTATAAATAAATACTAGAAACTTGTTTGAATTGAACTCAATACCTGGTCATTACTGATATTCTGAGAAAATATTTTTCCATGCTTTTTATCATCTTTTAAAAATCTGAAAATGAAAATTAAGAGGCTCATAGGCCTACATCATTCTGACACTTAATCTTGTATACAATATCACTGGATTTCTAAATTCCATTAAGTAGCCTTTCATCCCTATCACAGAATTTTGATAGAAACCCAAACAACAGTGTCCCTTTAGTAACTTTTGAAAAATTAAAGGAATGACAGAGAGTAAATATCTAGTAAATAATGGAAAAATATTGTTTTCACACAACGCAAATAACACATCTGTGTGTTACCTCTGTTATTTTAATTAGAAGCCATTTATCTCATTTGACCTTTATGATGGAAGAAATAGGTTTCATGAGAAGCTAAATACTTTATGTGTGCGCAAACCTGAGAGCACTTGAACCCAAGGAAATATTGCGAAAAGATAACAAAATAATCTATTGACCAGAAGTTTGTCATCTGTGACCCTTATGACTTAGCAATCTGGTTAAAATATCAGTAATCTGCAAATACCACTCTAGGTACATCTAACAGGTCTTTGAAAAAATCCTTTGATAAATTCCATGAGATATCTTAATCTATTTTATTAATCATAACTCTAGAGAGTTGGCTAATGTCTGTATGTTCAAATTTGTTGATGAATTGACCAAAGAGAGAGGACTGTGTCACAAAGTCTTCTAGAACAGGCTTTTCTCCAAAGAAATGTCAACTGTAATTTGTCTTAAGTACCAGGTATTACTTTTAAGAATTGTATTTTGTATTTTTGTGATTTATTTATTTTTTCCAAATTTTTTTTCTAATATAATATATGTTTTCCTAATACAAAAACATTTATTTTATCTAATAGCATTCCTTCATGTGGGTTTCATCTCCCATTTTTAACAATCTGTTAAATTTTAAAAGTACATATCTAAACAAGATCTGAACATATGATAAAAATTATCTGAAATCTGAAAACAATCACTTTTTAAGAGGGGATTATTTGCAAATTTTTCGATTTAACAGACCATACAATTATACAGAAGACAGCACTAAAATGAGGACAGCATCACGTAACCACTAGAAAAACATATCAGTACATATTGAAAGTGCATAAACATGATGACTGCTGGGTTTGGCGATAATACATTATATACTCCCTAATCTCCATCATTATCATTCATTTAAAGAAAATAGGTCACACTTTCCTCTTATCTTGATATAAAAATATAAAAGAAATACACATGAACACTTTCACAGACAAGTAATCTATACATAATTCTATAATACATTACTGATTACTGACAATTTGATGACATAATATATTATCACTGGTCATCGGATTTCAGAACATTTTAAAGGCCAAATGAAACAACTGTCAATCTGAAAATTTTCAGAAAATATTTTTTTGGCTTTTAAGTATAGATCCATTTTTTTTATTTAAGTAATTGACAAAAGTACATGCACAAGACTTGTTTTAGTATTTTGGGTTGAAAGTTGCTTACTGATCTAAAAATGCTCAAACTTTGAAAACTGACTTAATATTAGGCAAATGAAAGAATCTATTATGGTATATAAGTGAAAATAATCCCAAAAATACTTTCAGATTTACAGTTACTTGCTAGCACTTTCCACTAAAAACTAAATGTTTGCATCCGTTTCCTTGGTTCAACAATTCTTTCTCAAATATACCGGACTTCAGTATTAATGGCAAATTATGCAAAAAGTAAAAACACAGCTACAACATAATGCATATCTATATACTTTCGAACACTCAACTAATGCCACTGAATTCAGAGCTACAATTTCAACCATTGATACATTCATGGGACTATTTTTCCTCGAATGATAGAACCAAAATAGGAGAAATCTTCAAGAAGAAATTTCAAAAGACTAAAAACATCGTGAAAAGATGTCAAACAAGTCTGTAAAGAAAACAAAACAGGATATGAAATATTTTTAAATATCTATAATAAAATGAAAAAAGTATAAATTTTCATCAATCATTCATAATACCAAGAAGAAATAGTTCTACATAGTATCAATAATTCAATATATAAAATTGCTATTATTTGCAAGAATTGAAGGCATGCAATAAGACGGTCTTGAGCAACATATCACAGACTAAAATATTTTAAAAAAGAAATCTTGCTAAAGATTTTCTTGCCGTTTTCAGAATCCCCAAGATAACTTTGACAGACTTGAGTACATGTATACAGTTCAATCTCTTTGACCAGCCATGGTTTCTATATAAGCATCATGTCTGTGTTATCTACTGCAATGAGATAAACAAGTGATTCCAGGATGGTTCATTACTTGACCACTTCAGTACATGAACAGTATATCAGGAAATTTTCACCCCAGTTTAATTTTTGTGGTTTTTGTCAATGAACTGAGAGGATTAATTTAAGATTAGGGTAAAAATTTGTTATACTTGTATAACCTTTTTATTTTATCTCCAGAGGGCAGAATTAATATGAAGCAAATTTGTGTATAATAGCGAAAATAACCAGAAACCAAAATATCCCGATATACAATATTTGGATATACCTGTGCATGTTAAAGCTGTTTTCACTACTATTCAACCTGCAATAAATTAAGAGGCCACCTACAGGAGTCCATTACTATAATGAGGTCTCTTTCAGCAGGTGGTCCCTAACGTAGGTTATGTTATAACAGTAAAAGCATGTTTTCAAAAACTCAGGTGGTCTATACTGGACAGGTTTGACAAATTTAAACACTAGTGATTTTGTATAGGGCAGGTTTGACCACTCTAAACACTAGTGATTTTGTATAGGGCAGGTTTGACCAATTTAAACACTAGTGGTCTTGTTAAGGGCAAGTTTGACCAATCTAAACACTAGTGATTTTGTATAGGGCAGGTTTGACCAATTTAAACACTAGTAGTAATGTATAGGGCAGGTTTGACGAATTTAAATACTAGTGGTCTTGTATAGGGCAGGTGTGACCAATTTAAACACTAGTAGTCTTGTATAGGGCAAGCTTGACCAATCTAAACACTCGTGATTTTGTATAGGGCAGACTTGACCAATCTAAATACTAGTGATTTTGTATAGGGCAAGCTTGACCAATCTAAACACTCGTGATTTTGTATAGGGCAGACTTGACCAATCTAAATACTAGTGATTTTGTATAGGGCAGGTTTGACCAATTTAAATACTAGTGGTCTTGTATAGGGCAGGTGTGACCAATTTAAACAATAATAGTCTTGTATAGGGCAAGCTTGACCTATCTAAACACTCGTGATTTTGTATAGGGCAGACTTGACCAATCTGAATACTAGTGATTTTGTATAGGGCAAGCTTGACCAATCTAAACACTCGTGATTTTGTATAGGGCAGACTTGACCAATCTAAACACAGGTGAGTTTGTATAGCGCAGGTTTGACCAATTTAAACACTAGTAGCCTTGTATAGGGCAAGTTTGACCAATTTAAATACTAGTGGTCTTGTATAGGGCAGGTTTGACCAATTTAAACACTAGTGGTCTTGTATAGGGCAGGTTTGACCAATTTAAACACAAGTGGCCTTGTATAGGGCAGGTTTGACCAATTTAAACACAAGTGGCCTTGTATAGGGCAGGTTTGACTAATTTAAACACAAGTGGCCTTGTATAGGGCAGGTTTGACCAATTTAAACACAAGTGGCCTTGTATAGGGCAGGTTTGACAAGTTTTTGACAATAAAAGAAGGTCATAGAAAATGATGTGATGTAGGTCACCTACCTCACCTGATTATCACATTGTCTACGGAGTTATACATTATGTCAAACAATACTTCATCAATCACTACTGCTATAATGAAGTCGTAATTGTAAAGAACCTTCTTTTATCAAGTTTGATTCCTAACATCAGGAAAAATACTTTGCTTAATTCTCTGTCATTTGACCATTCATTACTAATGATATTAAGAATCCACTCCATAGACTGGCCAACTAATGTGCCGCTGGAATGGTTTCACCAGTTTTCAGCTGACCACCTAATGTATTGGTTGAGTGGTTGCGCTGGTGTTCTGTACGACCTTAATAGCACCAGAAAAGTCAGCTGTGACAAGCACTTGGCTGGTACGTTCCTCTTCCTTGGCTGTGGATTGAGATGGTGTCATCAGAAGGGACGGATTTGGAGCAAAGACTGCTGCGGTCACCACGGCATTGTGAACTAAATTAAAAACATGACATAAAATGAATATTTAGTGTAGGAAATATCTACAGGTCATAAATGGACCTAAACAAACCAGAATCAGGTGTAAGAATTGATCTTACAACACTCTGAGGGCTCTGCTGAGAATGGGACATATGATAACACTTTATAACCATCCACCTTCATAGAATAGTGGGAACATTTTAATATACTGTTCATAGCTATATGAAAATCACTCACCTTTAAGTGCCTCCCAGTAGTCATTACGATCTCGTCGGGCGGATGAGAACTTGTAGTATTCATGTTGGGTCTTCCATATGTACACAAAATGGTCCTCTGATCCACAAACGATGTAACGGCACTTTGGACTGAAACATTAGCAAACATGGAATAGTCAAGGTGTAGTGAGAGTTTCTTCTTCAACAAACATCTTAAGGGAATTAGAAGTCATCAAGGCAGAAGTTATATAACTCAAAGTGAATGTCTCTTATTTCTTTGTTTTTCTAATTATTTTTTTTTTTGGTTGTTTTTTTTTTGTTCTGTTTTTTTTTAAGGTTTAAAAGTTCAGCAAAACAAACATATTGGTGTAGCCCTTCTTATTCTAAGCTAGAGATTGAGTTAAGAAAACAAATTATGATTAGACTAAAATATTTTTTTTATCCTTGATGTACTTTGCAAGCGACTGAATAAAAACTGGATAATGTCTGAGACAATAAACTCCTACGATTATAAGTTACAAATCTATGTCTGTAAAGTTTCTGAAAACAGTAAATGTGATCTTGAAACATGAAATTATTTAAAATATTTTCATAGTGTTTGACTTTTGTGTATAGTTTCAATAAAAATCCCATGTAAAATGAAGTCACTAAAGGGATGGCCCTGAATTATTTCACATTACGGTTTAAATAAATAAATAGTAATTGTGTCCTTAACCTTGGTACCATAAAACATACACTCATTCATGGAAGTGTCAAAGTAGATATTTGGATATGATTAAAATACTCAAGAAATGAAGTGATTAGAGTGAATATTTTGATAACAGACCAGACCGGCCAGGATGACAGGACAGTGAAGGGGGGGACGGACAATATTTACAACACTATCACTTTAAGTTCCTCTTCACAATATAAAATGGCACGGGGCATAAAAAGTTACTTGATTCCATTTATTTTCAATCTCTTCATTTCAAAACATTATATTGAGTCATCACACCAAAAGGAGTCCTTGTGACCTGAGGAAAAGACAGTTGAAACAAAACTCCACCTTGTCTTGATATTGGAGAATTATCACACTTGTGTGGAGTCTTCAGAACGTTCATCGGACAGGGGTTGTCTTGGTATACCTGCAGACCATTACAGAGTTTGTAACTATGAAAGCAGAACACCATGGAAAGTCTTACCTAAAGCTAGCTTTGATCTGGCTGCTGTTGTTTGCTCCTCCCTTGTATTTACAGGTCAAGGTCAAATCTCGAAGGTCATACATTCTTATTCTTGAGTCATTAGAGGTCACCAATACCTGTAGCAAAACACAATATCTACGAATATGATATATATGTAGGCAAACATGTTGGAATGCTATTTACTTTTACAGACCAAATTCAAAAATTGAAAACAGGGCATATATATATATGTATACTCTAGTTGATAAAGAAATAATTCTTCAGTCAGAAAGATCAATTACCTGTACTTTAAACTTGGCTCTTCATCTCCTAGGTTAAAATCCCAAAAATGTCCAAACATAAAATTAAACTCTCAATTTTATTAATAGAAAGTGTCTTTCAAACTGGCTTTTTTTGTTTGCCAAGTTCAATTCCCAAACCCAAAGTTAAACTTAATTGTCAGAAAGTGTCTTGTTTGGAAGTCACAGCTATAAATCAAGTGTTTTGAACCCTGACCTGGCCGCACATTTTGTTTGACTGAAAAATGCTGAGTTACCTTATCTTCACCGGGTAGAGGTTCAATGCCAGTGATCTTACGTCCTCTAGCATTCTTACCCCGAGTAGATCGTACATGGATCTGTGTGTAGTATTTTAGTTGCTACAAACAAATAAAATTGAGTTATCAAAAGCACATGTTTATGACAAATTAAAATAAGTTTCAGTCAGCTGACTACTGTAGTGAAAAAGACATAATCATCGTCTGTCTCAATATAACTTTCGGTCAGCTGACCACTGAAAAAGACAATCATTGTCTGTCCATCTGAAGTTCAATCTATGACTTTTCACCGACCCTTTAAATAAAATTTATGACTAACCTCTGTATTGTAAAATATACATTTCCCATCGTAAGTGCCAGCTACAGCAAATTTTCCATTGTGACAGAAGTTTGCTGTGGTGATTAAACAGTTCTGAGCCTCATTCCACATTGTCACTTTCTTCTCAGGAATGTTCCACAGGCGAAGCTTTCCGTCGAGAGAACCACTCAGAAAATATCGGTCATCCTGTCAAAATTGAAGAACAAGAAAGGTCATCCTTGTTATAGATAACAAAGTGATCATCAACTTAGTTTATTACAAGACAAACAGAAAGCTAATGAATATGTCAGGAAAGTTTGAGGAAAATCATGATATTGTCAATGTCTCTAGATTTAGAACAAGATCTATTTTACAAGACAGGAATACAGTTGTGAAGACTTACTCGAGGGTGGAAGACGATTGCAGTAACAAAATCTATGTGCTGGAATGTACAAAGACACTCCCGTCGCGATATATGCCACAGGCGTACCGTCTTATCCATGGATGAAGACAAAATGAAATAATTCTGTAAAATAAACCAAGCATTTAACTCAGGACTAGTAAGTGTTTGTTTTTTTGCTAACTTCATGAACTCTTTTCTGAGTTTTTCACAACATTCAGTAAATATCATTAAAAAAATTACTACCCTGTATTTCTTTAAGCCTTTCAGCATAAACAATGTATATTTTCTTTCTAACTAATTCATTATGGTTATCAATGTAATAAAATTTGACAAAGAATTCCAAATAAACAGCTATAAAAACAATTAACTTATTGGTTTAATTCTGTAATTTTACTGATTATTCATCTATAATAAAAGAGCAGTACACAGACCTTGGACCAGGAAACATCAAGAAGGTCGGCAGAGTGACCTCTATATGTACAGAAAGGTTTTGGCATAAAGGGAGCTAATTCCTCCTCGGTACTACCTGAGGCCTACAAACAAGAAATTCAGGCAAACATACAATCTCTAATGTTATAAACGCAACTTAAAATCAATTAATCCTAGTTTCAACAAAGTTAAAAAAAAATTGGTTAAAAAATGTAGTACCAACATTATATGTAATTATTTTATAAGTGAATTTATGGGTTTTTTTTTTTTATAAATTAGTATTCAAATTAAAATTAATAATGATGCCAAAATGAATACTTAACACAAGCTTCCATTTCAACTAGAACATTAAATTTCTTTTTTTGATATCTCAACTCCCACTACACAAATATCAAAGGGACATAATTCATAAGAGAATCTGCAAAATAGGCACTGATCACAAGCACTGATTTTAGTCATGCAAGCTTTACACTGGCCCATAGTATCTACAAAGTTTAACTAAGATAGTGTGAAAGAGAAAAGCACCGTTAATCTCAAACAAACAAGGCAGATAAAGACTCTGATTCCAGTAAGTCTTTCACAAGGGGTATAGAAAGACTAGGTGTTTGTAAGGGAAATTTCCATGACTAGAACAAATGCTGGTCAACATGGGTCATGCTAATTGTTTGCCTGAAAATATGAGTTCATGAATCTATCTTTGTTTTTTTATGTGGATTTCAGGACAATTGTTGACTGACAGCTCATAGGATTGGTTCACTTCCCTAATCTGAACTTGTCTTCGATCTAAGCCTAAACATACAGTTGACTAAGAATATATATTATCCTGTTAATTACAGGGAAAATTATACAAGGTTCTTCTGATAAACAGTAAACTGGCTTACCAGTAAATCAGAAGCTGAGTTTTCTGATGTGGCTGAATTGAGACTTTCCTGTGATGGTGCAGGAGACACACGAACTGGAAGAGAAAGAATGTAAAAATTATTCTCAGTATGTGACACTCGGAACATTAGTCCTACAACATAAAACTTCCAAGTATTAGTTACAGACAAAAGTAGTCTCATTATAAGATGGATTTTTCTTGAAACCAACTAAACCATAGACACAGTCATCGAGGGTTCCATGATGTGCTTGAAAATGTAAGACTCCTAATATACCATAAGCAAATTATTTGTCTGTCTGCATAAATAGAAAGGTTCCAAATTCTTAAGGCAATTTACAAATGTCCATCCACATCTTTTGCAATTTTTAGCAGAAATACTGAAAAAATATAAAGATACAATTTTTATATAATAAGCCTACTTCAAAAGAGTCCAAATTTCAACACTTGTCATTACATGTATTCGAACGAGGAATTGGTAAAAGGAAAGAAATCATTTTATGAATTTGATGAAATTATAATTCTGAAACAAAATTGGACAGGAGCAATCGTGTTTTGATGTGGAGGCCAAAATAAGAACAATTTAAATTGCCTTGTATTAGTTCAACAGTCAATTCCCATTGCTGTTCTGACAACAAATCAAAAGCAATATTATTGAATTTTAATGTTATAAGCCAACTTCATGAATAAAAGTAAGAAGTAATGTGCTGATCTCTGCTTACCTCTGTTTACCTCTGTAACTGAAGTGACATGGCAGGAGAGCATGTTCAAACAATTGTGTAAGGTACACAATCTTTTATGTTCAAACAGACATGTATTTACATACCAATAACTAGTGTGTGGAGTAGGTATATATGTACTAAAAACAATCTATTCCAGTAAACATGGATACATCCGTGGACCTAGGAAAAAATCAGTAAGTTGGTCATGGAGAAAATATATCACAAAATACTTTGTCTGATTCTGAACAAAATCTCATTTCTTGGCAGTTCCAGTCTGACAGACCTAGAGCTGTTCTACTGATAGAGTATTTCACTGAAATAGTACTGAGAGGACTCAGTCACATTCCAAACATTTCTCTCTGTCAAAATTATCTTCTTACCATCGGCATATTTCTGACGCATGTCATCAAAGTAGCTGGAAGCGGACTTAATAACCCAGATCCTCAACATGCTGTCCTGTCCTCCCGTTGCCAGAAGACGACCACATGGTGAAAACTTCATTGTCCAAATAGCACCCTGTATACAAACAATCAGACTTAAATCTTTCATATTAATAACTCATTTCTATCCTTTTGAAATAGTTACTTTATACAAGATGCAAAAAATATGTACTGTAAGAACACTGAAATATCAATGAAAATAATGATAGTTAAGGATTGATTAAATAAAATTTGAGAAGAGAGTTTGATCAAAGAGAAGCAGAATATGGCCCAGTGCCATTCAATCTGTCAATCACCAACATGAGAGCGTTCAGTGTCACTTTATTTGTCAGTCATTCAGGACAAACTGGTAACAAACCAATAAAACTACCATTATTATCACCAGGAAGACTTACACTATGCGTGCCACTGAGATCTTGTAACATCCTTAACTGCTTGAAGTCATAAGGTCCTTTGTTGTTGTTTGATGCCTTGATCTGGTAAGAAATAAAATCTATCATCCACAGTTTTTACTGACATAAGCTATTCCAGTAAAACATCTACTTGACCCCTGGACTGGAACATAATTCAGTTTCATCCATGGTTCAGTTTACAGTCTATAACTTCTATGTGTGGTACCCCTGAACAAAACCTGAAGTAGGATTGATGTTTCAATGAAATAGCTCTAAGTATGAAGGGCCTGCAAGCAATTTTTACACAAGAGATCCAAAATGATTTTGGTGAAGGTCAATGATTTGTATTTATTTGGTTAATTTGATTCTATGTTAGAGTGACCTTTTTCTCTTTTTCACTGAATTGTGCATTGCATTACACAGCCGTGGCAGGTATGACATAATCATGTGGTAACATGTTCCAAGAACTTAGCTGTGTTTAATTAAGCATTGAAAAGTGAAACTGTCTTGTTTCAAGAATGTTCAAGAACTTAGCAAGAACTGTGTTTGAAACTGTCATTGTAATGAGAAACTATCCTTGCAGGAGAGATCTGTATCCCAGGTCCTTGTAGCTATCTACCTTATATATATGTATATCTGTGTAGGAGGTATCCCAGGTCCATGTAGCTATCTACCCTATATATATGTATATCTGGGTAGGAGGTATCCCAGGTCCATGTAGCTATCTACCCTATATATATGTATATCTGGGTAGGGGTAATCTGTATCCCAGGTCCATGTAGCTATCTACCCTATATATATGTATATCTGGGTAGGAGGTATCCCAGGTCCATGTAGCTATCTACCCTATATATATGTATATCTGGGTAGGAGGTATCCCAGGTCCATGTAGCTATCTACCCTATATATATGTATATCTGGGTAGGAGGTATCCCAGGTCCATGTAGCTATCTACCCTATATATATGTATATCTGGGTAGGGGTAATCTGTATCCCAGGTCCATGTAGCTATCTACCCTATATATATGTATATCTGGGTAGGGGTAATCTGTATCCCAGGTCCATGTAGCTATCTACCCTATATATATGTATATCTGGGTAGGGGTAATCTGTATCCCAGGTCCTTGTAGCTATCTACCCTATATATATGTATATCTGGGTAGGGGTAATCTGTATCCCAGGTCCTTGTAGCTATCTACCCTATATATATGTATATCTGGGTAGGGGTAATCTTATCCCAGGTCCTTGTAGCTATCTACCCTATATATATGTATATCTGGGTAGGGGTAATCTGTATCCCAGGTCCATGTAGCTATCTACCCTATATATATGTATATCTGGGAAGGAGGTATCCCAGGTCCATGTAGCTATCTACCCTATATATATGTATATCTGTGTAGAAGGTATCCCAGGTCCTTGTAGCTATCTACCCTATATATATGTATATCTGGGTAAGAGGTATCCCAGGTCCTTGTAGCTATCTACCCTTTATATATGTATATCTGGTTAGGGGTATTCTGTATCCCAGGTCCTTGTAGCTATCTACCCTATATATATGTATATCTGGGTAGGAGGTATCCCAGGTCCTTGTAGCTATCTACCCTATATATATGTATATCTGGGTAGGAGGTATCCCAGGTCCATGTAGCTATCTACCCTATATATATGTATATCTGGGTAGGAGGTATCCCAGGTCCTTGTAGCTATCTACCCTATATATATGTATATCTGGGTAGGAGGTATCCCAGGTCCATGTAGCTATCTACCCTATATATATCTGGGTAGGAGGTATCCCAGGTCCTTGTAGCTATCTACCCTATATATATGTATATCTGGGAAGGAGGTATCCCAGGTCCATGTAGCTATCTACCCTATATATATGTATATCTGGGTAGGAGGTATCCCAGGTCCTTGTAGCTATCTACCCTATATATATCTGGGTAATCTGTATCCCAGGTCCTTGTAGCTATCTACCCTATATATATGTATATCTGGGTAGGAGGTATCCCAGGTCCATGTAGCTATCTACCCTATATATATATGTATATCTGGGTAGGAGGTATCCCAGGTCCTTGTAGCTATCTACCCTATACATATGTAATCTGTATCCCAGGTCCTTGTAGCTATCTACCCTATATATATGTATATCTGTGTAGGAGGTATCCCAGGTCCTTGTAGCTATCTACCCTATATATATGTATATCTGGGTAGGAGGTATCCCAGGTCCTTGTAGCTATCTACCCTATACATATGTATATCTGGGTAGGGGTAATCTGTATCCCAGGTCCTTGTAGCTATCTACCCTATATATATGTATATCTGGGTAGGAGGTATCCCAGGTCCATGTAGCTATCTACCCTATATATATCTGGGTAATCTGTATCCCAGGTCCTTGTAGCTATCTACCCTATATATATGTATATCTGGGTAGGGGTAATCTGTATCCCAGGTCCATGTAGCTATCTACCCTATATATATGTATATCTGGGTAGGAGGTATCCCAGGTCCTTGTAGCTATCTACCCTATATATATCTGGGTAATCTGTATCCCAGGTCCTTGTAGCTATCTACCCTATATATATGTATATCTGGGTAGGAGGTATCCCAGGTCCATGTAGCTATCTACCCTATATATATATGTATATCTGGGTAGGAGGTATCCCAGGTCCTTGTAGCTATCTACCCTATACATATGTATATCTGGGTAGGGGTAATCTGTATCCCAGGTCCTTGTAGCTATCTACCCTATATATATGTATATCTGTGTAGGAGGTATCCCAGGTCCTTGTAGCTATCTACCCTATATATATGTATATCTGGGTAGGAGGTATCCCAGGTCCTTGTAGCTATCTACCCTATATATATGTATATCTGGGTAATCTGTATCCCAGGTCCTTGTAGCTATCTACCCTATATATATGTATATCTGGGTAGGAGGTATCCCAGGTCCATGTAGTATCCCTATATATATCTGGGTAATCTGTAGCTATCTACCCTATATATATGTATATATCTGTATCCCAGGTCCATGTAGCTATCTACCCTATATATATGTATATCTGGGTAATCTGTATCCCAGGTCCTTGTAGCTATCTACCCTATATATATGTATATCTGGGTAAGAGGTATCCCAGGTCCATGTAGCTATCTACCCTATATATATGTATATCTGGGTAAGAGGTATCCCAGGTCCTTGTAGCTATCTACCCTATATATATGTATATCTGTGTAGGAGGTATCCCAGGTCCTTGTAGCTATCTACCCTATATATATGTATATCTGGGTAGGAGGTATCCCAGGTCCATGTAGCTATCTACCCTATATATATCTGGGTAATATCTTGTAGCTATCTACCCTATATATATGTATATCTGGGTAGGAGGTATCCCAGGTCCTTGTAGCTATCTACCCTATATATATGTATATCTGGGTAGTATATCTTTGCAGGATATCTGTATCTGCCTGACAGAATATTATATTCCCTTTGCAGGGACATGTACATAGAACCTCATTCTCATAACTTGACATAATTACCTATGAGCTACATACCTTAAATATTTTGCCATCAACAGAGACTTCCTCTTCAACAGCTACATCATCACTGTGTAAGACTGCCAAGGGGCAAACAGAATAAAATCATTTTACTTCATAAGAAAGACATTATCATTATGATAAACAACCAAACAATTTAGAATGCCACTGTAATCATTGTCATTGTTTTTATTGTATTCATCAATTCTCTACTTATCTGTAGATAAACATGTTTATTAATTGTGACAAACCTCACCTGTATCAGCCATGGTTTTCACTTTACTCATTGTTTTACCAACTTTTCGTCCAATCATCTTCCTCAGTCGAGATCTAAATCAAACAAAAATGTATCAGTTCCCATGATCTTGAGGTGACAATTGTAACTTGTTAAACTCTAATTTGTCTCTATCATTAAAAATTAAGAAATATCACAGTATTAATATTTAAAGTTCATTAAAAATTTGAAAATCAAACACTAAGTAGATACTTTACCCTGTTAAAGATCATTTCTATCAATATCTGCTCTAAGTCTGTGAACACACCAATTTAAAAACAAGTTCACTTGATGTTTAACACACAGAAACACTTAAATGACAAAAATTTTGAGAAGGACAACTATGAAGTATTAGCCTGTTAAACTGATCAGTTGTTTGTCTCATTTTTCCCAATCTCAGTTTCTGTTGTTAGGCATTGTCTACTTGATGAACAGCAATGTCCATAAAGATAAACATAAGATATAGTGAGTAAGTATTAATTTTCAGTGAAATTAGACATGCAACAAAGACCAATATTTATGATGCCAGGATGTGGCCAAGCGTTACCTACCCCTTTTTCTTTACGCCTGACTGTTCGGACAAAGAATGTGTATCCTCATTGTCAAGCTGGTCATGATGGTGGTCATCCTTCAGGCTTCCATCACTGTTAAATAAATATAAAAATCCCATTGAAACAATACCGTTAAAAAAAGACAACTTGTGCTGTTAACCACAAAATCCACTCGTAATATTACAATGTACTTGTGGATCTTGTAGAAAAAAGAAAGGAAACACCAAAAGAGCACAATACAATGTGATATTTAACATCTTAAAACCAAAATCTTTAAACCATTCTAATTAAGAAATCTTGGCATCTTTCAAACCAATGGCTTACATTCTGCTATGCTTCAATGACACAGTACAACAAGGAAAGACAACTTACACACAGAATTACATTAGTTTATTTACATGATAGTTTATATATTTGTGACTTGTAGCCAAGTCATTCTATAACAAATTCAAATATATCAAGATTTCCTCCAACCACATGTACCACTGTAGGTAGTTATACAATGATGTTTCAATCCTGTGTGGAGAGATTATATGAACCTCATCTTTTCAATCGAAAGCAGTTTTGAAACAAGAAACCAATACACAAATCTCGACCTTTGACCCTAAAATCAGTTACAAGTCATTATTACAAGGCAGACATTTCAGTATTTTTCTAAAAGTTCCTTATCCATGAAAATTTAGTCTGAACAAGATGTAAATAGATGGAAGACAGGAATGATTGCCTGCTACAGACTGTAAAAATATTAACAAACATGTGTCATTATGCATGTATTGTATGTACATGTCTGAGGTCAAACCTAAGAATGATCTCACCCATGTACTTATTACTGTTTTAGTAAAATTATACCTATACCAATACTATTTGAATGTCCTGTTAATAAGCCCATCCACTGACTTAAAGTAGCAACGCATTGACCTCGGCTTGCTGCTGGATAAATATGGTGTATACATCAGATTGTCTACAAATGTTTCCCTATAAAACCACAAATAACCTAATTATTGAAAGTTTCTCCCAGAATATCGTTGCCATTTATCACCTGTGGTACTCCTTTGTTCTCTTTATAAGATGAAGATCTAGTGGATTAAGTCCCTTAGGTATTTTTTCTTCTGCGATGCTCAGTGGAACACTCTCTCCAGTATCAAGATTTAGAACACGGATCGCCTGAAGGATCTCCTGTAATGAATAAGCATGAGGATAGTATATGTTCTGAATTGAAACTTACTTCTGTGTATGTTCAAGTCAACGTCTGCAAAGAACTGATACCTTGTTTGGATCAATTGACTCCAAATATAAGACAATTTATGATATAATTAAACACAAACTACAAGACTTAATGCTTTTCCATTAACAATCAGAATTGGGACAATCTGGGTTGGATAATTGCAAAACAAGACCAAAATGGTTTTTTTTAGCAAGTTGTTATCAAAATACTAAACTGAAAAAAATGCATTAAACTGGAAAGCTCTCTGCTTACCTTGTCTGAGAGTAGTCTACCAGAATTAGATCGTGGCCGCAGTGTTTCCTCTGCAGCCGAGCTTCGTGCTTGAGAACGCAGACGTGCTCCACCTCCATCCTCAGTATTATCTGTTCCTGATGGGCCTCCATCCACGGAGGATGGCAGGCTGTCACTTTTTTGTCGCGGAGAATCATGATCCGAGTTTACAGCATCACGCTCTGCTTCCTGTTTACAAGAAATGATTACAGAAATGATATGGTGTACAAGAATGAAATGTATATTTTTGTACTTGGCCAAATTTACAATATTGCATTTAAGTTGTAAAAATTGAAATACATGAGATCTAATATATATTTCAGAAAACTTGTATCCTTTTTGTCTAATAAAAGAACGTATCTGATCAAGAAATGAAGATTTGAATTTGTCACAGTTGTGATATATCACCTCTGCATTGATGTGTCGGGCCCCACCGAGGGCACTGTGGAGGTCAAGGGCATACTCAAGCTCTTTGGTGAGATTATCCACTGTGGATGTTGGGGTGGGCAAACTCAGTCCTTTAGGACTTGCATTCCAGTCAGAGGCACCAGTCTGACAAAGCTAAAACAGAAAAAATTGACGTGAAATTATTACGTAAATAAGTTCAACAATAATTCATATACCACACTAGAAATAATGTACATACATGAGAGTAAACTTTTTTAACTCCAATGTTATAAAAACATCAAGATGTCTGAGGTTTACTAAATCTGACAAGTGATCTGTTTATTTCCTGTACTACTTTATTTTTCCTTGTTTGGGCACAAAAATTTGCTTCCTTTTCCTTCTTGTTTTTCTTTTCATTCATGAAAAAAAAACTTCTAGCTCCACCCACTTCATTCAGTTTGCAAATTGATTTTTCGTTGATATCAGCATAAAACCAAAAAATTCCTACCAAAGCTTAAATCAAATAGGAATATTCATTACATAAAGTACAAAAAGCTTTCTATTGAATTTAAACTCACTCTCTGCTACAATTATAGAAACTGAAACTGTTTTTAGAATTCAGAGCTGGTTTGGAATGGGGCATTTTGTCTCATTTCGTGAAGCAATTCAGTGTAAAGCAAAATGTTTTTGGAGTGAATTGCAAATTTTGGGAACCTGGCTGATATATGAATAATTGTCTGCCCCCAAAAAGCTATCAAAAAAGCCCTGGAATTACACCGATATGTCAAATCTCTATGCATGGGCTTCGAAGACAAAATTTTGAACATAAACTAGCAATTTTAAAGTTTTTTTTATTATTTTATTTTTGGAGCAACACATTACAAATTTATTAGCAGTAATGAAAGACGACATTCTAAAAACAATAGAAGAAATCCTGCAGCAAATAGCTGGACTACCCTTAGACAAGTGTAGAAAATATGGACCACCTAATTAATTATGTTTAGTATTGGAATATTTTGGCCAAGAAAAATCTCCAAAATATCCATGTAATCACTCTAGTATAAAAAATTCTGTTCTGGAAAACTCCCCACAGTAACCTTAACCTTATATACACAGTTTACCTCTCCACTAGATCTGTCTCCTTTCTTCTTCTTCCTCGGCGGTGCCTTAGGTTGTTCAACATTCGCTGGCCGTGGTTGCTCCGGTAGATCTCCGTCCACCAAAGTGGTTGGTGGAGTTCTAGTCTTTGTACTTCGTACAATATCTGGTTCATTAATATCATCATTAAGAAACTTGTCTACAAGAGCATCACTTCCCGTTCCTGTGTTGTCCTCTAAACTGTCTTCTGTCACTTGTATATGTGGAATTTGTTTGTTTGGCTTCTCCTTTTCAGGAAATGACGTAGTTATATTGTCAGAATAATCATGTGATTTTCTATTAAAAGTTTCAGACTCTTGTGTAGACAACCGTTTTGATGATTCCACTTCTTTGTTGGCTGAAAACAAAGGCGACTTTCCATTAGAGGAATCAGAGTCTTCATCACCATGTGTATTTAACATCTCATCATCTGTATCCGAGTCATGATAAAGCTTCAGATCTCCCATCCCTGTTGGGACACTTCCATCACTGTCCTCTGTCATCCGTTGTCGCAGATCTTCCAATCGCTTCCGCCTCTTTTCATTCTCTTTAATCTTACTATCAATTGCCTAGAAAAAGAAGAGATAACTGGAGAGTTCCCATTTAAAAAATACACTTCTAATATCTCAAGTGTTACATGTATCTCAAAGTTTCTCTTGTGATTTTCATATACAGCATTTTGCACCTATTCCTTCCTAATTTTGATATAAATAGTATCACATCATCTTTTCTATCCCGTGAATATAAAATCACAGCTTGATGAAAAGACATGTATAAAAATATATATTGATAACTAAACGGGAACCATTTTGAGATGATTCCATTATCATATTCCAAAAGTTGATACTAAATTCAAAGGTGATTTCTAGAAAAAACATTGGTCGCAGTTCTGCTATCAAAACATACCAGAACTGCTTATTACACAGTGTGACATCTACCTGATGACATAACAAAGATAATTTGATGTTCACTAGCATAAAAAAAAATGAATAAATAAAAAAAATGACTGACTCTTATGGATGTCACATCCCTATACAGAAGTTTGTGAATTTATACGGGCACAGATTAACAGAACTTCCCTTAATAATAATCAAATAATTTTTTACTTAAAATCATAAACATATCCAAAAGAATATAATTTTTGTACAAAATTATCAACAGAATTAAGAGTATTAATTTTCATTGATTGAAAACAATTTGTCATAATTGAACAGTATGTGTTTTATTATTCATTTCATCATCTGACAGTGGAAAATCTTGATGTGAAATGTTCAGTTTAGAATCAGTTATCCTGATAACTGTTTCTCATAGAAGTTATTTCTGGTAATTCAGTTTTATATTATTGAATATCTGTACCAAATGTTTTTCTTCTTTCTTTTTCCGTAACATTTCCAGCCTCTTCATGTATTCTTCATCTTCCTTCAACCTCCTGAGCAAAAACAAAATAACATATAATTACTTTATCATTAAAAAGCATTGTATATACATATTTTATGAAACAGTCAATAAGATATAGATTAAAATATCCTTCACATACTTACATGAAGTATTCTTACGGTTCTATGACATATTTGAAATTTTAGAAAAATATGTGTTTATACATTTATTTATTTTTTTTTTTGTTTAATTTGATCTTTACTGAACAACTCATCAAGCATGAATTTTCAGTGATATGCTTCATTGATGCTAGATGATTAATTACCTTTCCTCTTGCTTTTTCTTCAGTTCATACAACCTTCTCTCCTCTAATTCTAACTCACTCTGAAAAGAAAAACGTCATTGTAAGGCACTTTAATGCTTAAGACCAAAATTTTCTTGAAAATTATATTTACAATATGAAAGGTACAAAGTTCATTTCATTTGGGGGTGTGGCATTGTTTCTTAATTACTGGTAAATATATTTTATGTTTATGGTAAGATCTGACTTCTAAACTCTCTGAAATCAACATTGTGCATGTGCCTTTACAAAGATAGTTGGACTGTTTAAATTTTACTACTGATAATTGGGCAAGTGATATTTATTGTCTACAAGTTACAAAATCTAATATTGTTATATCATGACAACAAGTTTTTGGTGACATATTAAGATTTATGGATGTATCTATATATCCCTAATTTGTGGCTAATAAAGCATAAATTACACTGTAATAGCAAACTATACCATTCCAAAGGAGTCCTCTTGTATGTCACCCATTCCTGAAGGCAATGACCTGAAACCAAAAGAATTAGCCTGGATTACACTCGGTTTACATTCAAATGTATCAGTTTGAAAGAGTCAATACATTTCTAAATCCAGTCATGTTTTTACCATAACCAAGTACAGTACAAATCAAGAACATGAGCCTGCTGCTATTGTAAATTAACTTGCATTTTTAGTTTGCTATGGCAATATCTACCTATGAATTACTACCCTGGGTCTGTACCACCCACATTGACATCAAAGCAGCAATGATGAAATAAAATAATATTAATTCTGAAAAAACATTTTTATTACATTTCTTATCCCGTTCTTTTCCACGACAGCTTTAATTTATAAGCATGATTGTTTTTACATAGGTTCAGAACTATTATTAATCAGCATGATATTCAACATATTGAAGTTAGTGACAGTAGAAAATTTTCCAGACATCATTTCTAGCACTATACACATGTAAGAATCAAACCTGCATTCTATTCAGATCTTCTTATGTATTTACATTGTACCTATGCATACTCTAACAATGATAGAGGTTTATATTGCTAACAATTTCTGATAATAAATCGCCTGACCAGCAGCCTCTTGTGTTATATAGAGCATAATATGCCGATAAAGGGCATATAACTATTTTTATATCATTCAACAGTAAACAAAATGTTGAAATGCATACCATCTGAAATACAAATTCAATCAAGTAATTTAGTTTTATGATTTTCTCTCTAGGTGAAGAATAATGAGAAAAACGTGTGTTTTTGGTAAATTTGTAAATCATGTTTCTTGTATCTTTGATCATCGTGTATCAGTCTTATTTATTCTTCAAATCAAGGATTGTCCCACATGAAGGGAACCTTACAGGAAATTTTTAGAAAGTTCTGTTATTGAAAATATGTTCAAACTATTAAGTTGTTGACATATTTCATAAAAGTACTTATGGGAAGCAAATTTAAAGTTCCTTCCTATCTCATCCGAATTGACTAAATTATAAGTGACAGCTGGTTTAATGTTGGCCTACGTTTTTCTTGGAGTGCTGTCCTCAGCATCATAAAACTCGTCCATCTCGCTATCCGACGACATATTGGTTGGATATCCTGGTTAACACGATTCACATATTCATAGTAAAACTTCGATTAAAATAAATAACTTTTATATAACAGTAAAATTGACCAAATTTGGCTACACATTTCTGATTTGGTCAAAATTCTTCCTCCCTCTGCGCCATATTTGTTTTATTTCGGAACCCCTTGAGATTTATCTAGAAAAGGGAAAGCAAACGCCACGGGTTACGAAGAGAAATCGTTGTTGGAGGCTTTTGTCTTCTATGTAATCAACAGCCAGCAGCATAATTTGTGAAATCACAATAGTCGCGTTTGATTAATCAGTGCGATATTGAGAAGATTGGATAACGAATTGCCTGATGCCAAACCCAAACTATTTATATCATCCGTCGATAAAGTATTTCCCATAATTCCTTTCTCTTCATACAAAATGGAGGACCTTGTGGTCGAGGTCTGCGGCGCTAACGGTGCATATTACAAGGTATTGTAGCTGATATTTGTTAATCAAATAGTCTATTCCTTGATATGGGTTGTATTTGAAATATCAATTTATTCTTATGCGATCATGTTGTATGGAATTTAGTGACGATTTCCCGTCCTATGTACCGTTAGAAATACTTATGTTCTCAATAACGTTGTTTTCAGTTTGGCCGGCAATCGGCGTCTCGTTTCACTGTAAGATATCGTTTTACTAATGATACTACTTTAAGTATAAAAGAAAAAATGGTGATTGTAAATGATGTTGTTTATTATTGGATGCGTGGTTTATTTCAGTTTTGTTATACTTCGCTAGATTTGCTCTACATCAGTATGAAACATGCCCAAATGATGAGTCACGTTTGTATCTTTCTTATCTGTTGATTTTCCAGCTTCCCCAACATTTTCTTGTCATCGATCAGACTGCAAATATTCATTCCAATAGTATGAGTCTGATTACCAACAAAGTTATTTTAATGGAACCGAGAAAACAAAACAACGAAACACATGCTACGAGTTTCAATATTTTAATGGTTCCAGGAAAACAAAACAACAAAACACTTTCGTATTCGTTGTAAGCCTAATTTCTGCGGTTACGAAATTGGTGGTACATGATTTTGCACACCTTAGCAGGAATCCCTGTATAATTGTAGATTTATTCTCTTAAATGGACCGATCATTTTGTAAACATTGCTTTGTTATCAGGAATATAATGTGTTTAATTTTCAATTATAGATTGTATGTAAATAAAAACAATCATTACTAAAGTGAACAATGAAAATACAATAAATGTGCATGTACACTTTGAGCCTGCAATTTAGCACCTGTTGTTGCACAGGACATTAACATGGCACATGGTTTTGAGCAATTGCAGGAAAGTCAATCTACAGAAATAATTGACCATATATTAATTGGTGTATATATAGTAACACTGAAAGTTGAATTAACTATGTCAATGTTTAAAATCATCATCATAAATACCCAGTGACATGGAGCTGTAACTGTCATCCATGAAAGAGAAAACCCCGAAATGTTTGTGATAGTGTCTACATATTCTGAGGACTTAACGACGCAACAAGTACATTGAAAATGTCATTGCAAATGGGGCATAGTAAAACACCATTTGCAGGTAGAGTTGTTATTGTTCTACAAAATTTCAAATAAAGCAGATGTTGATAATTAACTTGTTAAAAAATCTTTACCACAAAATGCTAAAAACTTTTGCGGAAAAAAATGCAAATATATGTGCTGCATAAAATCAACTGCTTTGTAAAGTTGTTAACTTTTCCTGTAATTAATCATTATGTATATAAGCTGATTAAAATAATTCATGATACTGTGTCTTGATAAAAAAAAATTAAAAGCATTAATATTAGATTGTTGCTCATTTTTCCAAATATATTGCACAAGTAAGAAGTCAGTGCACACATTAGTTTGATTTTTATAATGATATAAATAACGTGAAATATATACCAGCTAGGACTGTATCGCCATTACAGATATCTGCCAATTGTAACAAAGATTTGACAGGTTCTGGATTTTTTGGTTTTTTTTTTCATAATAGTCAAATGAACATATTATGTCAAAACAAGACTAAATCAATATGCCTGGCATTGGAGCTTCATTGTTAAAATTGTTCTTCACTCTGCTTGTTTTGTAAACATTTTATTTTTAAAATATACCAATCATTTATAGATGGGGCTGAAAAGGGAGAAATTTTGGGTTTTGTCTTAAAAAGTTACACCTCCTACAGTAATAAACAGCCATGCTGATTCTTACCATATTTGTTCTGAAACATCTTTAATTGATGAAGGCGTTTACATTTTAAGTTGGCAGTTTATCTGGGGCTGGGTCAAAAGTGAGAAATTTGAGGTATGCTCTTCCTTACACTTAACTTCCACCTTGGCAGATTCTGCAATGAGATCAAAATTTGCATTTTTCTTTGGATGACTAAAACAATATCTGTTGACCATATCAATGTCTTTTATTGAAAATCGACTGGATTGTATTGTCTTCTCATTGGCATATTTTGTTACATCATAATTGTATGTGTATATACCAATCAGTCAACATTGATATGGAGAACAGAATGATGGGAATCAGTTTCACTTGGATGATCAATAATTGAACACACAACATTGATTGGTTATTGATTATAACCAGTTTCCTAATTCAGTGCAAAATTAATTTCTTTTTTGTATTTTGAAAAATATTGTCAGCTGTACCATCTGCCATTTTGAGTTATCTGTATATTGTATTTTGAGACCATATTTCTCTACTTTTTAGTACTGAACACAAACAATTTAACAGTTGTTAACATGTTTCATTTCCTCATTCAATTGTTTACTATCAATGAACTTCTTGGTTAGGTTAAGTTACCAAATATATAGTTTTATGGTGCAAACTAAAATTCTACAAACACTTCTGGACCTATCATATAGTTGGATTTTTGAAATTGTCATTGATGGTTGGTTTTATTATATATTTTGACACTTTTTGTCATTGTTGTTCATCATAGGCTTACAATTGAAATTAGAATTTTGTAGATTGCTGTACATGTTATATGTATGTACACCCTAAAATCTTCACAGTGTTCAGGCAGTCAGAAATTAAAATGATTGTAAAACGATAAACAAAATAAAAAGTCCTAGATAAGGTATGTGCACATACCAGAAGATTACCAAATTAAAAGATTCATGTCATATTGATACACATTCAGTCAGTTTGATTGTGTAGAATTACACTTCTTGTTAATTTTTTTCCCCATTTCTGGATAGCAATATCCCTACATCTCCAACTTGTGGTATCTACATATCATTGTTGATTCAATATTCATGGGCCTGTTCCCATTATCACAATTTTCCTTCCTGCAAGAAGTTGTCAACTGACTGACAAACTTGTAACACAAGGGTTCAAAAGATGCAGGTTGATGAAAATTATGGGGTAGTTTTATGGGCACCATAGTGATCTCATTTAGAAAAATTCTATTTCTTTGTACAACATGAAGCTGGACATATTTGCTGCTCATTAGCTTGCTTGTTGGCTCCATTGTATACCTTGTTCTCATTTGAGAACATGGCATTACTTACTTGGATTGACCAAGGTTTACATGGCAGGTGTCATCAATGAAGCAGAAGATGCTTACTCCCCTAGGACACATGGTCTTTTTCTTCATGTACATTTTCAGGAGTCTCCAGGTACATCTTTCTTTTGTTCATATTTTGCCCTGGTTTTATGGAATTTGAGTTTGAATTATGATTAGATTGACATGTTGATATTTTCATGATGTGTTTTGACCTATACATATACCTAAACATGGCTGAAACATGTATTATGATATATATGGCAATAAGAGGGGTAATGACAATGCTTTAATGTATGGGTATTTACACTGTTGCTACTTTAAAGTTTAAAACTTACGTAAATGACACCAGAGCATTAGAAACAGGAACCCTGAGTCTTTTACAATATGTCAACACACACCATAGAAATATGATTTAAAGATCTCTAACCATCCTGTCTTGTGGAGAATTGTGGGTTTTGTAGCATATTTTAAAGTGAACTAAAGGTATACTTTCAGAGAATGATTTTTATAGAAACAAACAAAAGTAGTTTTAACAAAAGCTTGTTTTGTTTTCAGTAAATTATTTTTCTATCTAGTATCATTGTACATGTCATAAAATATTTGTTACATCCGCTCCTTTTGAAGATATCTTCAAATCTTGTGTGCTGCATGAAACAACAAGTACATCAATTGAAAGTTCCTCAAATAAGGATATACTTACCAAAACATCTTGTAATATTATCAAATGTATGTTTCTATTTTAAGTCTTATTTGGCATTTACACCATGCCATTTTTTGGTGTCCATAGGCGAAAGCAAGAATAAATTTTATCTGTTTTGTTCAATGTTATGAGACAAGGTGAATGGATTAAGATTGAAAAGATCAATGAAATACGTTTACGTTTCAGAAATATACATTAATTTACATTTAAAACATTTTGATAAATTAGCACCTTGATGTAACATTCCATGTCAAATGATACATCCAAAGATATATTTAGAATGATGTTAGCTTGTGCCTTATTTCTTATTTTCTGCCATATAATTGGGTTAGGGTATATCATTGTGGAAGTGGTTGGTGTCCCAATAATAGCAAATGCAGTGAAAAAAAAAATGCATGTTTTAAAAAAATTAAATCATTTAGCACTGGTGTAAATCATGTCATAATGTTACGTTCTGGCCATGTAGACTAGAAGCGATTCATTTCTTATTACTAGTATATTGGTATATGTGTTTTATGACATCATGTCAGAGGTGCGTATAACAGATCAGTTTCCAGCTGTTTAACGGGCATCTGCACTACCACAATGCAAAAGATGGCCTGTACAGTGGAGAAGCAGTGATACAAGACCAATGCTATGTCCCAGACATAAGATGAATATGTAGGTCAACCATTGAAAATGTTGTTAGAAATGACAGAATTTATCGGGAACAAATCAAATATAGAAGTCACTGAATATTTGACATATTTTACCACAACATGACAGTTGTAGATCGACCATCGATGAAATAATGTCATGTAATATGACCAATTTTAGCAGAGGTTTTCTATATTGTTTGTTACGTCCTGATGAATAACTCTCAGATGTGACCGATATGTTTGATTCTTAGTCTCATATAACACAAGAAAATCCAAAATACACAAGAACAACCTTTTTACATTGAACACATGGCCGATTAGAAGCATGTGTTGTATTATATCATAGGTGAAATTCTTTATACTGGTAGATACCGTATATTTGATCAGTTGCAATATAGAACAAATGCATCTTCATCTATCTATTAGTTCTCCAACAAACTTGTTGATTGCAAAATTGTTGTCTTGTTATATCTGCTAATTTTTTCTTGTAAATAAAACTGATTTGATGGCCTAAGATTGAAGTTACAAATATTCATGGCAATGCCTTATTTAAATAATTAGTAATTTTTCATGAATTTGACAAAAAAAATTACCGGCGAAGAAAATATATTTCCAAGTGAACAGCTTTTGGTGTCCTGTTACATCAAGGAACTGTACATAAACAACTGTATATTCTCCATCATTTAAAGCAGAACTATCTTCTCCTGGATTGGTCAGGATGCAACATCATTTTATAATGTAAAATCTACTTCTTCACGGTGTTTCATCTTGTTATGAATTTTCAAAGATGGCTGTCCCAGATGTAACAAATATTTATGAACTGTCAAATGAATGTTACACCAAAAAATGCAAAGATATTCTTTAGAATTACTTTAGTCTTAAATAATCATGATACAAATATACTGGTAATGCCAATCCCTGGATTCTTTTATATTGGATTGATATAGAAAATAATACAAAAATGTTTGGATATAGTTTTGTGTGATGCATATTAAGTGTATGCAAATGTAAGTAATATTCTTAAAGGTCATTGAAGTATATATAAGATGATGACAGTATTTTTTCTGATTGTTTTGGGAACTTGCTACCAGCTAGAAATTTGTAATATGTTGTGCAGGGAAATTGGAAATTTGAAGAAACATGGACTGCTCAATTTCCCCACATAGAAATAAGAGATTTCAAAGATTTGAGAAATTTTGATGACTTCATTGCAAAAAATGAAGAACATTTACAACTTCCTTGGGAATTCGCAAATGAGTCCTAAATTCCAGTCCAAATATAAAGACAGGAAAATCACAATTGACTTGTGTAAAAATGTTTTTATAACTCTTTTACATAATTAGTTGATGATGACATACATACACACTTACAGTTAATGGTAATCTAGTGATATCAGTACATACATGTACACCAAGTGAGAAACAGATCACCACAGATTATATAGCACAGGCTGCATGATCGCTACAGTCATCATACAGAAGTTATGCCAAAGAAATACATTCCAGAAACAACCAGCATGGAAAACAAACATATTAAGTGAATCACCACCATATCAATGGCTGTTGTTGGTAATCAAACTCAACCTTAGTGATGCAGACTGACTCAATACTTCCCTTTGCATGTATGAAAAGATGGGATCACTCTGGGGTTAGATTTAGGGTTTTTTATCATGGTTTTTTTCCAAAACTCTTATTGAAAATTTCATAATGTGCTATATTATTTTAAAAATTTCATCCACTTTCTCCAAAACCCTGAAATTCTTCCATAATACGTATAAATGATCCAGTATTATGACCTGAACAGATATTCATGTTGAAATTCTTGTAGAATTAATCAAAGTTTTCTTTCAGTCTAATAACTTGTAAACAAGATCATGATTATAATCATATCTTAATCATGATCAGTTGACTGTCCAGTAGTTAATGGCCATTTGAAAGAAAATGAATTGATCAACAAATTTTAACACTTTCAACAGCAAATTGAGTTCATTACATTTGTCGAAATTGAGATAATTTAGACAAAATTACCTTTTGATGTTATTTTGTAATGTCTTTCAGAGGGAAAAATAATAGAAACTGAACAATAATGAGGTAATTGTCTGTAAATCTAGATGCACTACCTTGTGTCCGCATTTGTAACAGATCTAGGCCAAGTTCTAAATCATAATTGTATCACCAGCATGATTGTAAATATTGTACATTTCTGATGTTGACCACTTGTAAGCAGAGTATTTTAAACTCAGAGTGTCATCAACCTTGAATTAAGTCTTTTATTATTATAAAGAATACTTCAGAAGTTGGATGTCATAATTACTACATGTAATTAACAGATGTCACCACTCATGTTATTGTCAGTAATTAAGTTGATTCCTGGTTATATATAATTAGATTTAGCTTTATTTTGTACATAACAATAAAACATCATTTACCTCAACTGTGGTAGATTTTTTTATACATATGGTAAAAGTCTATTTGGATGGCCAGATGCAGTGGTGAAGTGGGTTTGATTCCCTGATCGAACAGACATGGAGGTATGGGGTCACCAGTCTGACCAAGAGATAAATCAAAGTGATATTAAAGATAATGGTTAATGTTGAAACTTCCAAGATTTACTCTAATTGGGTAACCTCTAATTGGCAAGTGGTGGTTTACATGATCAGGGCCTCTTAGCCTAGTCAAAATTGATTTTATTGAAAAAATTAAGTTAGTATCTCAACAAATTCTAAACCATATAGCAAGGGATGTCGTAAGGAAAAAAATGTTAAAGAAATGATAAAATATGATTATTTTGGACTATATAGGCAATGTATATTCAGAGTATCCTGGAAGGCCTCTTGTTAAGTTATTTGAATTGGTAGTTATATATAGCAGGATTAATCATTAAATAGCCATGCACTTTGATTTCCAAACACTTGAGCTTGGTTAGGGTGTGAGCTGGAACTGTAGGTGTAGCTCCTACAGCCTTATAAATAGATCTTCCAGTTTTATTTTGAGGGTCTACCTACATACAGCTGGTGTATCCAGATTGTTATGAGGTCTCTATGTGTATTAGACCTCTCCTGTGTATGTCACTCTACCATATGTATTTACTCTAGAGTTGTCTGTACATAAGTTGTCTGTACAGTTACTGTTCTCTTTACCCCCGGGGCCCCCATGGAGAAACACACTACAATAATTTCTGTATCTCTGGAAACCAGCTCTGATTTCTTTATCTCATTTTCCTGCAGAAGTCTTCTTTACACACATATATTTGTATTTATGGCTGTAAATCAAGCTCTATAAAACACAAATCTCTAAATTCATGAAGCTGATCAAATTATTAATACGTACTGCATTCAGCACTTTTTTTCTGAACATATATTTACAATTGCATCTTATATGTATTTATATATGTATTTTATGAAAATTGCCTTTGAGTTTTGACTGAAAGAACTCCTAATAACGACATTACAGACAAGGTCATTTGTATGTGTAATTCTGCCATTCTCTCTATTTCTCAAGCTAAGCCTAAAATAATATTATCTTCAAGAAATGCTTTTATAATGAATATGCTTTAGGAAAATTCTTACCTAAATTCTGTGTCCAAGGACATTGACAATGTTACAACAAAATAATCTATATTCCAAATACATACCAATGATGGATTCTAATACCTTTCCACCTTTGTTAGCTATAGGTTGTATTCTGATCTCTCCTGTCTAAGAGGCTGCCTCTGTTCCCTTTAAAACAACCAAATTCTGTCCTTTATCATCTTAGTTTACCAGTCCTTCATTGACTTATCAATAATAATGTTTCTTTTCTAATATATCAACTTATCAAGAGTTTTTTCTGAGGGCTCTGTGGGGTTGAATATGAGCCACATTCCCAATTGCATTGATTTCATAATACAGTATTGCCAAATTCCCAAAATGTTCACTTTACGACTTAATATTTCCTTTCAAACTGATCAATTTTCTTCCCAAAATAAGATGAGGGCATTTTCCCCAAATGAGAAGAAAAAACCCCCACAGAAATTGTAGTATTGAAAATGATTCCTTTTTTTTAATATCTTTTTTGTTCGATCTTCAGTGAACATGTCAGATCACTTATCACTAACTTGAGCTCTTATCTTATTGTTTAAAGTTCCTTTCCATCGCCTCTCATTCTTCCTTCTAATTTGCAGATTCAGAAAAAGTTAAACTTGTGTCTATGCCAAAATAGGTCTATACAGATTATTGCAGACCACCTTAGTCTGAGTATTCTGTCTTTCTCCTCCTCCGCAACACAAGTACAGATGTACTACTCTTATAATTGCTTACATGTACCTAAATAAGATATCTTTTATGTCCGCAACCAATGGTTGTACCATACTGTTACAATGTCTATCCATCATGTCCCATTATTTATTTATTTAAGGGTTTTACACCCACTATAATGGCCTTTTGGCCTTTCATGTCCTGTTCCTAATCATCATGACATATCTTGAAAATCTCTCAGCAGATTTAGTTCCTATATTCGCTATAGTATTATAACATCAATTTCTACAACTGATCAGATTCTGGTTGGTGTATATATATATAGGGTATTAATGTTTTTAATGACATTTTATAGTTACTGATTAAGTGTGTATAATTCTGTATTTATAAATAATCACTGTAGACTGCCAATGATTTAGTGTGTATCTGTATTTATATCACTGTAGACTGTCAATAATATCCTATGCATACATGGATCGTTCAGATGGCATATTTCTTTACCTAAATCTTGAACTGGTACCTGTTTCAGTTATCAAGTTGCCTGACCACATAGGGATGGTAACAATCTGAAAGACAGAAAACCAGTAACTAACTAAACTAACCCAATCGATAAGGGATCAGATAGGTGTTTTAATGATGATACTCCTATTATGATTTGGAATATTGGCATTGACAAATTCCAGGAGAGTCTATAATTACTTTTCTTTCTTTTCCAGGCTTACGTGAAGAATATACATGAAGAAACACTGAGTGTGCAATTTGAAAATGAGTAAGTTTTTTTATTTTGTCGTTAGTTTTATAGACTGGTTACATGGGGGAATAGGGGAGAAAGGTTGTATCCTGGGTTCTGTCCACAGATTGACACAAAGTGTTTAAAATTGATTCTAAGGACTGCATGTACTTACTACTCTGTTTACCTAAATGAATTGTCCTATCAGTTAGGGGCAAGTTGAGCCCATTATTGTCAGCATAATATGGCCAGATGGGATGTCCTGCGAACATTTCTGGATTATGACATTTCAGTGTGATGACACTATAAAAAATCCCTCAGTGGCCAAATCATCCTGGCAAAATGTCTCTATTTGATAGCTATTGCACAATTTAAAACCCTGATCATAGAAATGTCAATATGATATATATGCCAATATTTAGAGATTATTTAGAATATGCCAGTGTTTAGAGATTATGTAGAATATGCCAGTGTTTAGAGATTATGTAGAATATGCCAATGTTTAGAGATTATGTAGAATATGCCAATGTTTAGAGATTATGTAGAATATGCCACTATGAAATGCTTGACATTGTACAAATGACATACACTTTCATTGGAGTGAAATTCGAGCATAATCACTTCTGTCATGAGATGCAATTGGAATACCATAAGACAGAGAATGCAAGAAAGTGATCAATATTATTCCCTACCCATTCAGGTAAGAATAGTAGTGTTCTAAATATATACTGGCACTTGTCAGTCCTTGTTAATTAAATTACCAGCAAAAAATAGCTTTAAATTACCAGCCAAGAAAATAAAAATAACCTAGGGTTCCAGTTCTAGAAAAAGTTATTAACAACCCAAAGTGTGACTGTAGAATTTGTGCTGTCAATATGAAAAATTTAAGTAATCATTATCACAGAGGTGGAATTTGCGCATGAAACTAGAGAAAAACCTGCTACTGAGCCTTAATTCAGTTTGAATAATTTACAAGTAACTCATGTGTAAAACAATTTCCCTTAGTTTGTTCTCTGTTTATAATTGTATGTTGAATGGGTACATTTCACAGGTCTTTTATGAGGCTGGTGACAATGATACATTATAATAAGGCTGGTGACAATGATGCATTATAATGAGGCTGGTGACAATGATACATTATAATGAGGCTGGTGCCAATGATACATCATAATGAGGCTGGTGACAATGATACATTATAATGAGGCTGGTGACAATGATACATTATAATGAGGCTGGTGACAATGATACATTATAATGAGGCTGGTGACAATGATACATTATAATGAGGCTGATGAAAATGATACATTATAATGAGGCTGATGAAAATGATACATTATAATAAGGCTGGTGACAATGATACATTATAATGAGGCTGGTGACAATGATACATCATAATGAGGCTGATGACAATGATACATTATAATAAGGCTGGTGACAATGACATCTTATAATGAGGCTGATGAAAATGATACATTATAATGAGGCTGGTGACAATGACATCTTATAATGAGGCTGGTGACAATGATACATTATAATGAGGCTGGTGACAATGATACATTATAATGAGGCTGGTGACAATGATACATTATAATGAGGCTGGTGACAATGATACATCATAATGAGGCTGGTGACAATGATACATCATAATGAGGCTGGTGACAATGATACATTATAATGAGGCTGGTGACAATGATACATTATAATGAGGCTGGTGACAATGATATCTTATAATGAGGCTGGTGAAAATGACATCTTATAATGAGGCTGGTGACAATGGTATCTTATAATGAGGCTGGTGACCATGGTATCTTATAATGAGGCTGGTGACCATGGTATCTTATAATGAGGCTGGTGACAATGACATCTTATATTGAGGCTGATGACAATGATACATTATAATAAGGCTGGTGACAATGATACATTATAATGAGGCTGGTGACAATGGTATCTTATAATGAGGCTGGTGACAATGGTATCTTATAATGAGGCTGGTGACCATGGTATCTTTTAATGAGGCTGGTGACAATGACATCTTATATTGAGGCTGATGACAATGGTATCTTATAATGAGGCTGGTGACCATGGTATCTTATAATAAGGCTGGTGACAATGGTAACTTATAATGAGGGAAGTGACAATGGTAACTTATAATGAGGCTGGTGACAATGACATCTTATAATGAGGGAAGTGACAATGGTAACTTATAATGAGGGAAGTGACAATGACATCTTATAATGAGGGAAGTGACAATGGTAACTTATAATTAGCCTGGTGACAATGGTAACTTATAATTAGCCTGGTGACAATGGTAACTTATAATTAGCCTGGTGACAATGGTAACTTATAATTAGCCTGGTGACAATGACATCTTATAATGAGGCTGGTGACAATGGTATCTTATAATGAGGCTGGTGACCATGGTATATTATAATGAGGGAAGTGACAATGGTATCTTATAATGAGGCTGGTGACCATGGTATATTATAATGAGGCAGGTGACCATGGTATATTATAATGAGGCTGGTGACCATGGTATATTATAATGAGGCTGGTGACAATGATACATTATAATGAGGCTGGTGAAAATGACATCTTATAATGAGGGAAGTGACAATGGTATCTTATAATGAGGCTGGTGACCATGGTATATTATAATGAGGGAAGTGACAATGGTAACTTATAATGAGGCTGGTGACAATGGTAACTTATAATTAGCCTAGTGACAATGGTAACTTATAATTAGCCTGGTGACAATGGTAACTTATAATTAGCCTGGTGACAATGGTAACTTATAATTAGCCTGGTGACAATGGTAACTTATAATTAGCCTGGTGACAATGGTAACTTATAATGAGGCTGGTGACCATGGTAACTTATAATTAGCCTGGTGACCATGGTAACTTATAATTAGCCTGGTGACCATGGTAACTTATAATTAGCCTGGTGACCATGGTAACTTATAATTAGCCTGGTGACCATGGTAACTTATAATTAGCCTGGCAATCTGATAGTTTTGCATTTTTTATTCAGTCTTTTTTTTCTTTTATTTTCTTTTTTACATTTTTTTTAGATGTGTCAACAAACATTTACCTGTGCATTATACAGGAGTGTACTGAAATAGGCATACTTGTATTAATGGCACTTGTATCTGATCTGTATGATGAAAAAATGATCAAATGATAAGTCTCATAGATCAGGGGAATAATGGTCTGGTTTTATACAGACAAGTGTCCTTATAAGGTTACTTATATAATGGAAGGAATGTATATGTGTTGTCTTTAACTTTACAGTTGGCAACCAGAACAACAAATCAAGTTCAACTGTGCAAGGCTGCCCCCGAAGTTGGTTGTGAAAAGGACTGATTATGTGGAAGGTGAAATGGTGGAGGTAAGAATGAAAATAAGGGCACATCTTTTTAAAATTTTTCCTCGACGAAGATGATTCATCATGATGTTGATTATACAAACCCAGAGAATTATAGCAACTTGTAAATCAACCATACCTGAAATACTAAATTTATGAAACAGTGGTAAACTGATAAAATTTACAATTGAGATAATAAATGAGGTAAAGATAGAATTTAAACTGGTAGAATTTCAAAATGAAATTTGTCAAGGCCAAATTACAGAAAGTTGTCATAAACAGAGTGGTTATTAATTTGTACCAGACTACCAGGTGTATTGTAAATTACACTGTATGTTTGGAAGGAGGAGGATGTTTCTATACGTTCTGTATAGACTGAAAGGTAATTCCTTTTAGCAAGTAGTTACAGTGTTTTTTCTTCATATAAGAAAGCATTTGCAGAGATATCTGATCAGATAGATAAAAAAGGTGGAAGTAAAAGTACAGGGTTACGTTGCTTATGTTGTCTGTATAAACACTACATATACAGGTAAGGACAAAATCTAATGGAAACATTATGAAATTTCTTTCATGTTTGATAGTAAACAACTGAGATAAGATTATGACATTTATTGTCATTGTTATGAAATGATGATAAATACCACATGTTTGTTGGATAAGTTATGCTAATGTTGTAATCTTGTAAACATTCTCTTTATCTTGAAGATTTATGGGGATAAGATCATGTTTTCAACACTGCTTGTGTTATCAGTAAGAATAATCTCTATCTGCAGTGTTGCCAGTAGACGTAGAGCCTCTCACTAACATGTCTTGTTCTCGTGGTTATGGTTACACTTTTTATGCTCCTGGAAGAGAGAACATATAGTCGCTACTTTGTCCGTCCATTTGCTTGTCTATTTGTCCATCTGTCCATCATGATTTTTTATGTCTGGACAATATCATCAAAACTATAAGCACTATCAACATGAAATTTGATAGGTAGACAGAGATAAGGAGAAGTGCAGTAAACAAGAACCATAACTCTCTTTTACAAGTGTTAGGAGTTTTTTTAAACACTTGGTGTATACATGGTAATACTAAGACAATGTGCAGTATACCAAATTCAGGGTCTACAACTTCTTTATTACAGAATTATTACTTTTTTATTAAAATTTGGTTCCATTAATGTTTTTTTTTTTAATTTCACTGATACACTTGTCATAGTAAGAAAATAAAGGACTGTGTTTTCTGTATGAAGAACTATTAAAATTTTCAACACCAAAATAAACCTAACTAATTGTTGCTTATCACTGGTATTATGTACAGTAAAATGTTAACAACTTAAGTATAGATGATAAAGATGGACACTATAGTTGATAAAACCCTAATTGATAAGGGAACTTAATTATGTAAATGTTGGTTATATGGACACTTCATTAAAAGATAGATTTTTTGTTGGTATGGATGCATACGAATATAAACTTAAGTTTTTATGGATACGTTACATTATAATGTGTAATGTTCTGTTAGTATGGACAGTAAATATAAAGGACAAATTCTTTATAAATCCTTGTTATAAACAAATGTTTATGTTGACACTGGTACTGGTACTACAGACTCTAGTTTATAAATCCTTGTTATAAACACATGTTTGTATTGACACTGGTACTGGTACTACAGACTTGAGTTTATAAATCCTTGTTATAAACAAATGTTTGTGTTGACACTGGTACTGGTACTACAGACTCTAGTTTATAAATCCTTGTTATAAACACATGTTTGTATTGACACTAGTACTTCAGACTCTAGTTGATAAATCCTTGTTATAAACACATGTTTATATTGACACTAGTACTACAGACTCTAGTTTATAAATCCTTGTTATAAACACATGTTTGTACTGGTACTAGAGACTCTAGTTAATAAATCCTTGTTATAAACACATGTTTGTATTGACACTAGTTTATAAATCTTTGTTATAAACACATGTTTGTATTGACACTAGTACTAGACTCTAGTTTATAAATCTTTGTTATAAACACATGTTTGTATTGACACTAGTACTGGTACTAGAGACTCTAGTTAATAAATCCTTGTTATAAACACATGTTTGGATTGACACAAGTACTACAGACTCTAGTTAATAAATATTTGTTATAAACACATGTTTGTATTGACACTAAATCTTTGTACATGTTTGTACTAGTTTATAAAGACTCTAGTTTATAAATCCTTGTTATAAACAAATGTTTGTATTGACACTAGTACTGGTACTACAGACTCTAGTTTATAAATCTTTGTTATAAACACATGTTTGTATTGACACTAGTACTGGTACTAGAGACTCTAGTTTATAAATCTTTGTTATAAACACATGTTTGTATTGACACTACAGACTCTAGTTTATAAATCTTTGTTATAAACACATGTTTGTATTGACACTAGTACTGGTACTAGAGACTCTAGTTTATAAATCTTTGTTATAAACACATGTTTGTATTGACACTAGTACTGGTACTAGAGACTCTAGTTTATAAATCTTTGTTATAAACACATGTTTGTATTGACACTAGTACTGGTACTACAGACTCTAGTTTATAAATCCTTGTTATAAACACATGTTTGTATTGACACTAGTACTGGTACTACAGACTCTAGTTTATAAATCTTTGTTATAAACACATGTTTGTATTGACACTAGTACTACAGACTCTAGCTTATAAATCCTTGTTATAAACAAATGTTTATGTTGACACTGGTACTGGTACTACAGACTCTAGTTTATAAATCCTTGTTATAAACACATGTTTGTATTGACACTGGTACTGGTACTACAGACTCTAGTTTATAAATCCTTGTTATAAACAAATGTTTGTGTTGACACTGGTACTGGTACTACAGACTCTAGTTTATAAATCCTTGTTATAAACACATGTTTGTATTGACACTAGTGCTGGTACTACAGACTCTAGTTTATAAATCCTTGTTATAAACACATGTTTGTATTGACACTAGTACTTCAGACTCTAGTTGATAAATCCTTGTTATAAACACATGTTTGTATTGACACTAGTACTGGTACTAGAGACTCTAGTTTATAAATCTTTGTTATAAACACATGTGTGTATTGACACTAGTACTACAGACTCTAGTTTATAAATCTTTGTTATAAACACATGTTTGTATTGACACTAGTACTGGTACTAGAGACTCTAGTTTATAAATCTTTGTTATAAACACATGTTTGTATTGACACTAGTACTACAGACTCTAGTTTATAAATCTTTGTTATAAACACATGTTTGTATTGACACTAGTACTGGTACTAGAGACTCTAGTTTATAAATCTTTGTTATAAACACATGTTTGTATTGACACTAGTACTGGTACTACAGACTCTAGTTTATAAATCCTTGTTATAAACAAATGTTTGTATTGACACTAGTACTGGTACTACAGACTCTAGTTTATAAATCTTTGTTATAAACACATGTTTGTATTGACACTAGTATTCGTACTACAAATTCTGGTTTTATAACTACTTGTTAGAATTGATTCTGTATTTAACAAATATTTGGGCTAAACCAAAAGATGTTGTTGAGTGATTAAAAGAAACTTTCACTTTCATATGTGATGGGACAAAGAAAGATAAATCTGCAATCTTCTTATTACAATAGAATTCTCAGATGCGACACAGTCTGGTAAAATGAGCATCCTTTGTTTTGATAGAGGCTTAGAATTTCTTTATCCTTCATATCCTTATACCCATGAAAGACTGGTAAAATCCCAAATAATAAATCAATCGTATGTATTACATATATGCATCATGGTCATCAACTTTCAATTCCAGGTGTATTCCCGGGCTAATGAGGCAGAAGAGTATGGCTGGTGGCAAGCTCGTGTCAAAATGCTCAAAGGAGAGTTTGCAGTGATGGAGTTTACTGGATGGGACACATCATCATATACAGACATAGTCCCGCTGGAAAGGATAAGAACTATTAATTCTAAGTAGGTCAACAAATTTGCTAAAAAGGTCAAGGTCACGTTATAATTAGTAACAATCTTAAAAAGGCATTTAAGTTACAGCTTAGAAAATTCTTGAAACTAAATCATGCCAACAGAGTAAACCATATGTAATAGAGTTGTGTATATCCAAATTCTAGAGTAATGGCTGTTTTATGACAATCCTAGTACATAAAATTTGTCCAAAAAATTGCTGTGTATTAAATCAAGCAGGAGTTCAACACTGAAAATTTCTTCTAAAGAGGATGTCATATAAAGATGATGAAATGTAATGTAGCTATTTTGTACGTAGCATGAAGCTAATGCCTATTTTGGATTCAAATATTATTTATATGGTATATGATGACAAATGTTCTGATATTGCTAAGAAACGGGAGAAATATGTTGACTAAATATGTTTTGTTTTTGCTTTACAGTAAACCTTTAACAAAAACTAGCTTTAACAAGTATGTCATAGAAATTCCTGCAGATTTACGGGAAATGTAAGTACAAGTTGTATGTAGACATGAATAAGAAATTTATTGCTTCCTTTAATTCTTTTAGGGAGATACTTATCATTATCCATGAAGAAGTCTTTTCCCAGATTCTCAACAAAATCATTAAAAAGAACTGTTTTTATGCTGGTTACATTCTCATCAAACGTGATAACTCTTATAGGATCTTTACTGTTTTTATGCTGGTTACATTCTCATCAAACGTGATAACTCTTATAGGATCTTTACTGTTTTTATGCTGGTTACATTCTCATCAAACGTGATAACTCTTATAGGATCTTTTCTGTTTTTATGCTGGTTACATTCTCATCAAACGTGATAACTCTTATAGGATCTTTACTTCAATTCCAGATGTTTTTAACTTGTAAGGCCCAGAGGGCCAAATTACTGAGTTTCTGTCATAGTGTGGTGTACGTCGTCTGTCCAATAATTTTTCTTTTTAAAGACTTCTTCTCAATAACCATAAGGCCAAAAATCATGGTATTTGGCTGGAAGGTTCCTAGGATGAAGCCCAACAATGTTGGTGAAAAGAAATAGCCTTGACCTTTTTCATTGCCACAAGTTAAAAATGTTCAAACCACTTCTTCTTAATAATCAAAAGGCTTAGAATTATTTCGTTCAAAAGTTTCTTGGATGAAGCCTAATAAAATTTGCAAAGAAGAAATTACCTTCACTCATATTCAAGTTCACAGGAGTCAATATTGTTTAAACTTTCAAACAACTTCTTTTGATGAACCAAAAGGTCTATTTGGCTGTTAGGTCACTGTGGTGAAGCCAAACAATATTTGGGATAAGAAATGACCTTGACCATATTTAATGTGTCATATTGAAAAACCTTCAAACCACTCATCATTAATGATGACTTTGAATGTCATTGATGTGAAATGTAAATGTATTTGTTAATACCATTGAATACTAGCTGGTGAATCATACAGGCCTGTTGGGCTTTTTATTTTGTTTATATAAAACAACATCTGCTTATAATTAGTCATTTTGGTTTCATCCAGCATATCTTTGGTTTCAGTTGTAAGGATGAAAATGCTCACACAGAATTTAAGAAGCACTGTAATGCTGTGTCTGTATCATACAATGATAATGAAGGTACACTTGTTGTTTTGGTAAGTGTCTAGTGGTTTCAAAGATCAATATTGTGTATGTGGCATAATTAGATTGCGGGATGCATCATATCATTTTACGAAATTCCTTTACTTTAAAGAAAAAAAAAATTGTCTTCACTACAGATAAGTATTCTGAGATCCCATGAGATGCATGCATATATCACCAATCATTGCAGAGTTAGGTTGAGGGATGCACTTATCACTTAAATCCTATAGAAAGTGCCTTGAGGAACACCTGGAGTCCTGGGATGGGAGAGATATTCTTACTTTTTACTCAATTCTATGGTAAGTGCCTTCAGGCAACATGAAGTCATGGGATCGGATAGATGTTTTATTGGAAAAACATGTTCAGGGCCAATTTGTTCTACACGATGAGATGATTTAACGATAAAACTGTAACCTGTTATTTTAGTCTACTAGTGACTCTGTCATCAAACGGGCGACCATGTTAGGGGACATGCACTTGAGGAACCTTCGACAAAAATTGCTTCTGAAACAGAGGACAGAAGAGGCTGTTAAAAGGCTACAGGTAAATAGTGGTCTGTCTCCAATGGACAAAAGTCATATAAAGTTACTTAGCTTAACATATAGTACAACATATTATACATATCAAGCAATAAGAAAGAGCAACAACTTCTGAGGCCAGGTTTTCCTCAGGATTGGTGGCTCTTTAATATACCATAATTTTTATCCTCTTTGAAAAAGCACCTTGCACACTGTGATATCCTCCTGGGACCTAGAGGATGTTAAATTATGTGCCTGATTGGACATTGGTTCTAGGAGCTTTCCCCACTTCTATTCATATGATTCATATGGTAAATACTAGAATTAACCAAAATAAGAGGGCTGAAGCAATTGTATAATTTTCGAGAAACAAGTCTGATGCTTTAGCAATGCTCACAAAACTAGACGTCACCTTAGAAATTATCTACAAACATGAACAATAGATATACAGCAGACATGATAGACAAAAAAACATACATCCTAAGATAATGTCTTACCACATACAACAAAGAAATGTCCTTAATGTAATGAACATTTGACCTTGACCTAAATTACTGAAATGGAGGTTTCTGAGTTATTGATTGCGGTACGTTGGGAAAAAATTTAAATGTTGTAATAAGCAGGAAATGTTTGTTACAGAATACTAAGATTCGGTCAGGTTACATGGAGGAGTTTACTGTAAGAGAGGACCTGATGGGCCTGGCCATTGGTTCCCATGGAGCCAACATTCAACTGGCTCGTCGTGTTGATGGAATCACAGGAATTGAACTTGATGAAAACACATGTACATTCAAGGTTCATGGAGATGTAAGCTTCAAATTAGATCTACTTTAAAAGCTGATCAATAGGCAATCTTGAAATACCTGACTTTTCAATATTTTTCTGGATATATTTTGAATTTCTCTAAAAGATTTTCTTTATATGTAAGAATTAATTTTCTTTCAAACACTGAAGAGTGTAAAGCTTAGAAAATTCACTTAAAAGTAAATAAGAAAATATTTGCTGCAATCTTGGAAACAATATCATCTCTCAAGCAACTGCATCAACTAAATGTTCTAAGGTGAAGGTCACTGTAACTATTTATAGAAATTTGTCAAACAGTAATTGCCCGGGAGCAAGGGCTTTCATTTCTTAGTAACATTTTCTAGTGCAACATGTATATGATTGTCCGTTGAAAATAAGCTGGAGGATGCCTTCATATTCATTCTGTTCTATTTCTAGTCGCAAGAATCTGTCAAAAAAGCACGAAGTATGCTTGAATATGCTGAGGAGACCTTTCAAGTTCCAAGAGAGCTAGTTGGTAAGGTTGCTGTGGCCGGCATTTTGTCTGATACTTATGATGTTGCCAGGCTTTTGGTAAAGCTTTTGTTAGTATGATATCAGCAGTATATTTCTGGTGTTTTGAAAATTGACTCTTGATTGGCTGAAGCATTTCAGATAATGTAATTTTCCTAGATTTTGATAAGATTTTGCTCAAACTTTTCATATTTAGGCAAGTTTGAGTGAAACCTATGAACATATAGCAAAAAGATCATATCAAGTCTAAGGTACTGGAATTTTGAGATCTTCCCGACTATTTGTGTATTATCAATCAATTTTTGTACCCAGCGAGATCAGGTTTACTTCCTGAAGATCCTTAAGTTCTGATGTTACTTGTTTTTTCCTGATATTTCATTTCCTATTTTAGAATCAGTTTTCATCTGAGGTTTGTCATTATATAATTCTACTGCCAAGGCCATTTTAGCAGATTAAGTTAATATTTTTTAGTCTGCATATTATATTCATTGAAATCAAAGCAGTTTCTATAATTTAATAAGTTAATGTTTTCTTAGAGATATGGAAACTTTACATCATACACAACAAGTACTTCGTAAAGTTCAGTTCAGAAATTTACTGTTGCTTTTTTTCAGCTAAAGTTATAGGTAAAAATGGCAAAAACATACAAGATATTGTGGACAAATCAGGAGTGGTGAGGGTTAAAATTGAAGGTGACAACGAAAGTGAAACTCTCCGAGAGGAGGTGAGTGTGACTAGTCCTGATATGTTATTATAACACTGCTACATACCGCCATCCTGCCTGGTGTGTTTATTTATTATAGAGTTGATGTGAGACTGTTGCTCTGCCGTCTTTTTCATCTCCAATTATCTCCTTTCTCTGGATTTTACTCCATTTGTCATAACCTAACTAGGGATGCTAATTGAAGAATAAAATCTTATTTTATTTGTTGATTTTCATTTGTCTCATTTCATTTGTAATGTTCATTTATTTCTTGTTTTGTGTAGTTTTTCTCTCCATATCAAACTGAATTTTTTCTTCTTGAATTTGATTATCAGAATTTCAGTGTTGGAGAAGATTTCATATCTAAAGATTTTTTTATAACAGGTCTTTTTAACTATTTCAATAGTTTCCATGTTGAGTTTATAGCTGTCATATCTGAAAATTAAGATGTAATTTCAAACTGTCAAGGTAACTTTGGATTAGATTAGACTCTTATTGGTTTGTGAAATTGCTGTTAATGTTTATTTATCCATCGTTGTCAATTATGAATTGAAGCACTGAATTACAACATGATAAACATGCATTATTCAGGATGTTGCATAGATGATTGATTGGTTTTACTATAGAGTGTCCATGAATAGTATTATGTGTAAGCTTTGTCAGTATATGTTGTTAATTACCGATCCTGATCCTGTTAGATACCAGTGTGTACTTGAGACTAGCAATCTGTTTAACATATGTTCAGTTTTCAATAGTTTCATTTAGTTTGATATATTGCTGTTTTTATTATAATTAATAAAAATGATTTGAATTGATTTCAATCTCAAAATTTAAGTTCACTCTTCAAAATGTATTTAAGAAGATTATGATGATGTATGTGAATCATATTTCCATTCTTGCTATCTTCATCAGATATGAAAAAGCTATTATCTAGCATTCAGTTATTAAGATGCCCTTATGTTCTTCAATACTCGATTAAACTGCTCATGTTCTACTATGTTAAATAGATTTCAAGAAAGTGTTGAGACTGTTGCATCGCTGATTCTTTTATATCTGAAATATTTTGTTTCTTTTTTCAACTTTTTTTCCAGTTTTTGGATGCAGATGCAAATAATCTGTCACAACATTATAAATTTTTATCTTGGTTATACAAACAGGTCTTATTTATATATAGCTTCCCTAAAAAGGGAAAATTACTCCAAAATATCGTATTTGAAAAACACACAATATAGTAAAACCAGGCTTTTGAGTTTTGCTTCCCATTTCATTAAAACAATAGGCTTTGCTGTTTGCAAAGTAACATGTTATTTATTAATGTTCTTGAAAGTAGAACGATGCTAAATCAAGTCAAGCTTTTCTGTACGGTCCCATGGCTGGCATGATAAACATTCAGCTTTATCAAAAGCTATTGACTAGTTTTCATGATAGATAGACATGAGATGCAATCTGGAAATGTTTTCTTTAACAATATGATTTTGTTCAAGTTTGTCATATTCATGATATTTGTAAAACAAAAAATTATAAAGAACTAAATATCTTTCATTTATGCAAGTCTTTAACTATATGTGAACAAAATAAATGTATAGCAATTAGAATTTTGGCATCATTGAAAATTTTTTCAACTTATCTGACTTAAAGATGGTTTAAAGTAATTTATGTGCAAGTCATTTATTTTATCATTTTTCTTTTTTACAAAATTGAAAATGAATGTAATAATTATTTCTGAATGAAATTTTGCAGAAATACTAGTTTGATCAAGGTATATACAGTCTAACCTCACTCTTATGATATCTGATATCTTAAACCTATGTTTATTCCAAAGTTGTGATGATAATCTCCATTACATTTACATGCATATCACTTAAATATTTCACAAAAGCTTAGCTTGTAAAGTAAAATTAAGGTAAAAGTTTCATGGGTATGATGAGGTTCTACTGTAAAAGCCTATTCATGTTTTATTGAATTCAATCCATATAAATTCTGAGTGATCTATGTAGGAGTATGATGAAATATGATGAGTGATACTTTAGACACCAATGTGTGGTGCTTTCCCTTTGTAGTATGACGATTGGAGCGCTCAGGTTCCCTTGACTGTAAGTCCCAAACTACCAGCCTTTGCATTCATCACTGCATTCTCCAGGCGCTCTTCTACATTGCATCAGCATCTTATACTCTTGTCTAACACATATTTACAGTGACATGGACAGAATTCTTTGGAAATAAGAGAAACATCTTGTTTTCTGTGCAAGTGTATTCAGAATGAAATAGATTTTTTCTAAGAAGAAAAGAAAGAGTAATGATACGTTGATGGTATTGACAGGAGTATGGAATGTTGATGTAACTGCTGTGTAGTGCCTAGTGGTGCAAGGGTATATGATCAGCACTCCAGATTTGTTATAGATCTGCCCAATAACGTTAAACCCTTTAGGCTTCTTACTCACAGGTCTAGATAGATATTTCTCACACTTTAAAAGATGTGTGTGTCTTTTTAGAGAATAAAGTTCTCAGATTTAAGATGCTTTATAAAACAAAATATAAAGAATACAGCTTGATCGGGCATATACAGGAACTAATGCTTACATCCATGCTTCAAAAGAGGGAGGTTTTTCTTCACCTTGGTTATAAAGTGTTCCTTATTTTGGTTAAGGTTATAGTATTTAGAACAACTTTCCTGTTTCTGTTGAGGATATGTAGCTGTATACATACACTGATATCATTTATTGCAACACTTATTTGAGGTAGAATCTCGATTTTGATTGGATAAATGTATTTGGATTTTTAAATGACTGAGACAGTGAAATCTCTTATTTTAATTGGATAAATGTATGGGGATTATGAAATAACAGAGACTATTAAATAACAGAGACTATGAAATAACAGAGACTTTTAAATCTCTGATTTTAATTGGATAAAACTATGGGAATTATGAATGACAGAAACTATCCTTTTAGTGAAGTTAAACTATTAGCTAAAATGGTTATCAGTGAACTCTCGACACACTTTTTATACCATAATGAAACCTGAATTTTCCAGTGTAAGATATGTGATGTACTAAATTCACTACCGTCTTCTGTTGAGGACTCGGTAATAGATTATGCCATATAGTGCCTGTATGTAACTATGGGAGGAAGCAGTTTCTGGGGATACATTGCAATATCAGCTGATGACATTTACTAATCATCAAAATCATTGTTATCTTTCATCAGAACATCTCAGGGAAAGAAATCATTTTCTCTTTTTTATCAGCAGGCTCATTTGTCATGTTTCCTTCAACTTTCCTGTTAGTTTAGTCCATACTCACATATATATACACTTACAGTTGGGTAATGAGATTCATTTGTTATGATTTAAAAATGGTGGTCTTTTATTAAACTTTACAATATCACATTTCAATACTACATTGTCATGTTTATACCTGCTGGCCATTTTTCAGACCATTTCATCTTGAAATAAATATAGTCAAGTATAACCATTGCTTCAGACTATATAAAATTTTTTGTTCTTTCTTTATTGACTTAACAATGTCAAGGGTTAAAATAAAGCTGGTGATGAATATTTCCTATTTACGACAGCTGTCTAGATTGTGTGAGGATTAAAACTGGTGTTGTAAATACCTTTCTTTGCATGCCTATACATTGTATCCCTATTTTGATTTATTGCTTTAATTAAATGTCTTTGTGTAGACATTCTTAATGAATTAAAAATATCACAACAGTTTTACTGCTTTTACAGAAAATCATTGGTACAATCAATTTGAAATACAGGTTATTACATCATACTTAAGCTTAAGATTTACAGTAAATCATTGGTACAATCAATTTGAAATACAGGTTATTACATCAAACTTAAGCTTAAGATTTACAGTAAATCATTGGTACAATCAATTTGAAATACAGGTTATTAAAATAAGAAGATTTACAGTAAATCATTGGTACAATCAATTTGAAATACAGGTTATTACATCAAACTTAAGCTTAAGATTTACAGTAAATGACAAAAATGAAGGAAGCAGGTCCCATCTGGATCTATTCCAAACCGGTTTTTGTCATCACAATTAGGATTGTTTTCTGTTTTTATCAACATACGGCATAGAACAAATGCCTACTTGTCTAGCGTAAGGGTATTCAGTACTGATTGAGTCACACTGGGATAACTTAACCATATGAATGGAAATCGGGATGAAAATATTATGACTTGTATTAATCCTGTATAAACATTTTATTACATTTAAGTAACAAATATTTCAAAATTTATCAATCATGTAATCTGGATTTTTCTTTGAAGTGAATTTATGATGTGAATGCCGAAGTCTTTCCTTGTAAACACATTTCTCCTTGTCCAAGCATGCTTGAGTGATCTGTCCTTGAATGTGATTGTATATTTCAGTTCTCTCCCCTCGTTTGCACATGTAAAGGAATTGCAATTCAATGCAAAGAAGAAAAAAAATCAAAGTTGACTTGATTTATTAAAAAAATCACATACAAAAGATAATCAAATATACAGACATCACAAAACATCACAAAATCGGTCATCTACAAGAAGGCAAAACCTGTGACAAAGTTTTCCCAATTTAAGAGTGATTGGTGGTGTAACAATCATGTAAAAACATAATTTGTAGTGTTTGGAAAGTGAAAAGGCTAGTACAAAAAAATGTAAATCATATGTTAGGAAATGTGAAAATTCTGTTCAAAAACAAAAAAAAAAAGACACAAAAACGTATTTATTTTCAGATCTGTTTCCTTGAAAATTTTATGCATTCTACAAGGCATTTCAGTAATTTTATATTCAAAGTGAAAACACAGTCATACCATCTGCACTAAAATAAAAATATTGTTAATTAAAACTTGCACAATTGTATCTATCTACAATACAATGATTTCATTGTGAAATTAAAACTATGTAATAGTAAAGGTGTTGTATCCTGGTCAGTAACATTGTCGTCATTAGATTTATATTCAAGACAGTGTTTCATACCTAGGTAACACCCAATTATCTATGCATGTCTTTAATCATCTCCTTTTTTCTAATTATTTTCTTTTATATCACATTTAAAGGTTGTCCTGTTTTCAATGGAAAATTGTGATTTTGTTTTTCATTACTATAGACTGTGTATGACTACATTCTTGATAAGTTATTGACAATGAATACAGGTTAACGAAGTACTCTCATCCAAAGTAGAATCATTTCTATTGATTATGTCTTTTAACTGTTTTGTATCATGAGTTATCACTATTTCAATATCATCATCTGCATCAAACATCAAATCACAGCCATCATTTGTAGATTATGTATATTGTAACCCATTGTATATGTATGTACCTTGCTTGATATCATTCTGTTCTTTCTTCACAGGGTCAAGTGCCTTTTGTATTTGTTGGAACGACTGAAAGTATAGAGAATGCTAAAATTCTGTTAGAGTATCACTTAGACCATTTAAAGGTAAGTTTGGAGTTAACATATGAAAATAACTGCAGTTTAAGTATGTAGGTCTCAATAAGACATTTTCCAGTAAAATATCTACAAAACAAACCACTTCTGTCGATAGTTTGGTTCCCTGCCAAATACTTCCAAGCAAATTATCAATTAAACTGGAAGTCATTGGATGAAATAGATGTACTAACATCTTTCAGAGATCATAATTAACTTCTGGAATGAATTACACATTGAAGTCTTCTTTATAATTAATAGCCACTGAATTGTGTGTATAAGGCTTTGGTTAAGAAATAAAAGTTGTTGCCCTTCGTCTGGATGTAATCAAGGCACATGTTTGAACATAGTGTTCTGATGGTTATGTGAGAATCACTCTACAATAGCTAAAGGCTGCAACTTAAACCAAAGAAGAAGATACCAAATTGATAGTAGCATGATGAAAACACTTAAATTTGAGGAAAAGTCCATAATTATCACAACTCTCACCTATTGTATAGACTTTTAAGCAAAGCATACATGATGTTTACCTGTACTTTACACAGCTCTCACCTGTAATGTACAGCTCTTAACTGAAATATGTATAAATTTTACTTGTTACACAAAATTCTAATCCAGAACATACACATGTAATAAAACCATTTTTCACATGTACTGAATACTCTCACTACATGTACATATATTTGAAATATTATTCTTTTGCAGGAAGTAGAACAATTACGTAAAGAAAAGTTAGAAATAGACCAACAATTAAAAAGTTTATCAGGGGCACAACCTGGGCCCTACTTTCCCCCTCCACGGGAACGAAGGTAAGAATAATCCCTCGGAAACTTCATATAGGATAGGATGATGCCTGACTTCCTTTCTCTCTTCACAAAAAATAATTCTCCATTTCTAAACAAGGTTTGATTATAAAATATAATTCCCTATTTGTGAACAAGGTTTGATATATGTATAGCTTCCTCTAACTACAGTTACAATAGCCTCATTCCTACCGGAATATGAACAGTTAAGAATCTGATACACTTGTGTGGTGTTGTTAAAAAGAAATATTGTAAAGTAATTTTCTACGGCTTAAATATTTGAGGCTTTACTGAAAGATGAAATTGAAAGGGGTGTGTTATTCACAAAAATGATGAAACAGATTAAATTTAGTTCATTTTTTTGAGGTAAATTGTATGCAATTTATTTCATCTTCAACAAAAGTAACAAATAAAACTCCATGAAAAACAGCCTTCACTAAAAAGACTTTGCCTTATTCTGAACTTCAGTTATCATATCCCACTTAGAATGTCCTTTATCTTGTAAAGGTGATCTATTGATATTTTTCTCCAGTATTTCCCAAACAGATGATATAAAATATGAACTTAGCATTGCAGTTACAAGCAATAGAGAAGTGATAGAAATTTTTTATCATTTGAAGTTAAGAAATTGGATATGTGAAAACTTCTTTACACAGTATATTTATTGTAACTTAAACTTATATAAGCAATGTAATCAACTGAACCCTTGGGTCATCATAGATGCTTATGATATTTACCTCTCCTGTGTATTTTTGCCCTAAACACAGAGACAGTAATGACCCATACTCGGATGAACGTGGAAGGCGGAGAATGTCGGGTGGTCGAGGTGGAAGGGGGCGTGGGCCTGGAAGACGCTGGGCCAATGAGAGACGAAGCTTGATATCAGGTATATTATATGAGGTCATCCTTTTGATATTGAAAGTGAATTGAATACATACTTGACTGACTAAAATTTGGTTACTTTCCTACTCCTCCTAAAGGAATGATTGAATTTCCAAATTTGGTCTAAAGCATTCCTAGGGGAAGGGAATCAATTTTGTAGAAATGATAGTTCTTGGCCCTCAGGAGTAGGAAATTTGAAGCCCAATGGGGGGAATGGATCAAATTCTTTGAAACCCCCTTTCTGTAGGAATATCAGCATTCTGTCCCAATTTGATGGCAAACAGACTTGTTTATGGTTTTTTAAAAAAAAGTATCAAACTGAAATATATGATAACAATCTCTGTTTTCACCTAAAGTCAGTAAAGAGAAATCACTGAATTTTGTGTGTTAAAGGAGATGAGAGTGGTCAAAATGTTACGGATTGGTCAGCCGAAGTGACAGCAGAAGAACAGAAGCACACAGGGTACCTAACCGACAGTGTTCTGAGTGGTCGAGGACGGGGTGGCCGTGGTGGCCGTGGCCGAGGGCGTGGTTATGGTGGCTATCCCTCCTACAGGACTGTGGGTAAGAATAGAATTCGAGGAGGCTTTAGAACCTTTTGATTTTAAAAATGTCATTATTGGTTTGTGCATACAAGATCATTGAAGAAAGATCTAGAAATAGATTGGATGAAGAGAATGGAAACCACATACTGGAAGATTATTGAGAAATCTTGATATACATGTACCTTTGGTGTTTTGAAATTTCTTATTAGTAATGATAATAATATAAAAAAAAACTTGTCAAGGATACCCCACTGTTGTTGTCTTCATAATTCTACCATTGACCTTATCTTTCTTCTTTGACAGCTTATGACTCTGAAGATCCGCGGGATCAAAGGTCCCGAAGGCGTATGACAGATGATGATGATACTGTCCTTGACAATGCCAGTGTAAACAGCCAGGATCAAGGTATACATGGTCTGTTGTACATTATATAGCATAAACAATGCTCTCTTCCCAACATCCAATCTTTTATCCTACAGTACTTTATCACAATACAGTACCCTGTAATCCTTACCTATCAGTAATCTTATCAGTGTTTCCATTTAGTTTAACTATTTCTCCACAATATAACAATTATTATAACCCCAAGGTCAGTCCCATTCTTCTAAACGTTTTAACAATAGGATTTTTCTCTTTTCAACCTGATTTTAATCCATGCTCTTTATCTTCCGTGAAAACTTACTTTTTATTTCAACTCATAAGAGCAATTTCACTTTCCAAATCTTGTCCTTAAATAACCCTTAACACTCTATGTTTGCATGTTAACAATAATGTGTGACCTAATAAGTGATAGACAGATTTCCATGACTCTACGGTGAATTATGTTTATAACAAACCTCAGGGGCCAAGAGAATCAGTTCGTTATACATAATTTGATATACACTTACAACAAATTTAGGAAAAATATTGCATGATTCATTATAAGACATTAAAGAAATAAAAACACAGCTGAAGACAAAATTTTATGTGTTCAATTAACCATAGCATATGGAATGACATATAGTATTATTTCGCATTTGAAAATGTTCAAACCAGTTAATAATAGATTTGAAGTCATTATCTCCAAGTCGTTGTGCGAATTTGTCAGATTTTACCATCAAAATAGGCCCAGATAATGGAATATGTTGATTTCTTTTTAATTTAAAACCTTTCATATAGAGTTTCATACGTAGCACTTTGATGCCATATCCTGCTCTGCAATGAATTTAGGGCCGAGTTCTTTTTCACAATTTCAGTGTGATTTTTCATGTTGATGGCGGGATTTCAAACTTGGCTGCAATTTTCCATTGCAAAGGTCCAATTGTCGACTTTGTTGATAATTTGATACTTTGTTTCAAGAGTAATAGCCTTTCTTGTGCAAGATGGAGATGACAAAGCCATTTCCTTAGAAACAACTAAGATGATACATGGTGTTTTATTATTTTATAGAATGAGTTTAGTAATTCCATTCTCTAAATTGAAAAGAACTCCTGATGTGTGTATAACAACAAATCACTTTATTTATAATTACCTTACCCATGTTTGGCACTTACCTGACTACAAGTATCAATAGTTGTATACAAATGTATGACCCACGTTATTGTGTCGGAGTGCTGGCATCACTGTGGTGGTCCAAGAAGCTGACTTGTTATAGATATTAATTCACCGTGTGAGATTCATTATACATTTTTAAATTTACATACAAAAGATAAGGCATTTGATGGGGAATGAACAATTTTAGATTATAGCCATAAATTCGCTGTATGTGTTTGTCACCAACATGTTTTAAGGTATTTCACATTAGTTTTATCTACAACAAACTACGATATAATTGTAAATATCTTTAGTAATCATTCATGAAATCAATGTAAATTTGTTTCACAGATGAGCGACGACCAGAGAGGCGGAGACGTAGAAGGAGAAACAAGTTTCGTGGAAGCAGTAGTGCAGCCTCTGGGACTGAAACGGACAATAGTGTATCTAATTACCGCCCAGGGGGTGGACCCAGTGGTCCACGTCCTGGGAGTGGGCCCACTGGGCCCCGTCCAGGGGGCGGTAATGGCAACAATCTTATCAAGACTGAGAATTCTAATATGCCTAATCAGATGCCCCGCCCCAAAGTTGAAACAGTCACATCGCCAGCATCAGCCCCGCCTCCTCGACAGACACAGTCACCTTCTCGTCAGTCACCTGGCCCTGGTAAGTCATACCCTCAGTCTAGCAGCAAACCAAACACTCCTAGCAGCCAGAGCAAGGGGTCCCAGGGGCCACCCAACAAGGGTCCTGCACCTAAAGAACAGAGGGAGCCAAGGAAGAATGGAGGAGGGTCTAACCAACGGTTTCCACCTACAGCAAGAAATGGCAATCTACAAAGTGGCAGTGAGACTGAATCAAAAGCCAAGGGAAGCTATCAAAATGGCAACAACAAACCATCTGAACACATGGTGAATGGAGAGTAGGTATAACCCTAGTGGGCGTCTCCAGGAGTGGGTGTGGTCATGTGCCGTATGCCCAGGGGCACGCCCCATCGCCAACAAACTGCTGTCTGTTTGCCTCTGCTTCACACCCGTAGTCACGGCCTCCCTACTTAGTGTTGACAGACCAGGCATGTCACACCGGATGAGTCTTTAACACCGGATTGGAAATTAATGATCAACTTGTAAGAAAAAATTTGAGTTACATCATTACCAGAGATATTCAAAATGTGTGTCAAAACAGATGCACAGATTGTTCTGTTTTCTCATCAAAAGTGAATAATACAACATCAGATCCAAGGATTTCATGAATACTGTATTTATAATACAATGCTTGATACCATGAATTCTTAGAATATTACTATGTCACTACATTGTATGTGAAATATTTATGATATAGGTGATACATGGAGTGTACTGTACAGTGTGTTGTGTGACCGGTGGGTCAATCTCAGATCTGAATGCAGAAAGAAATAGAACAGAGTACACACTTACCTCCCCTTGACTATAGTTGTAGGTACAGGGTTGGGATGTAACTTGAGTGTCATTCTAGAGTGATATAAAAGGTCTTGGACTTTCTCAATAATATTTTTTGTTAATGAACAAATTTCTCTGAAAAAAATTGCTGTGGCAGCAGTTTGAAAAAGTTAAAAGATGACAAAAATGACAATATGAGTTTGTTTCTAGTTGTTTATCAAGGCTAACAAACGTGCAGGACAGGGTAGGTGAAGTGATTGTAGCTACTTACAATCACCGGGAATGGTTCATTGAAGGAAATTGTTAGAATGAAATCGATTTTAGTATGCTTGTACCCTTATTCAAATAAAGCTGTGTTTTTGGCAGGTTGGTTTACAGTTTAAAGATGGACACTGGATTTAATTTGATGTCTTTCTACTATCGAGGAAGAAAATTTATCTGATGCTTCAAAGCATTAATGATGTGAACACAGAAGAGAATACTTTGGGTACAGAAATGAACATCTTTGTTTACATGTTAAGTAAACAACATTTGTATGGTACGATAACGACTTGGATTAGGTAAAGAGATCTAGGTATCCTACCGTGACCCCATGTTCGGGTGGTCACTCTAACATAACCATGTGATGCATTCTGGTTAGTTAGAGGTCAAACACACCACTGTACAATGTATATAGTTTAACCCAACAATCCCATCAGACCCATCAAGATTGGTACATGTCTATGAGCAAATGTCAGACCGGTATCCAATTAATCTCGCTATCATATCACATTAGTTTTCATACATACATGATATATTGTTTTGTGAAAGAAGATTTTAGTGATCATTTCAGATATTTGCAAAGTAAAGCCATTTCTATCAAAGCAAATAGCTTACAAGCTTTATAATTGCTATTTGGATTTTTCCAGAAATACTAACATGTGTTTGGTTATTCATATATATCTTGAATATTGAACTTTCATTTCTTTATTTATTTCAAAATTGTATTTTGGGTCAAAAATTTTCTTGTAGACTAGAATTATTGTATAGCATATCAGTGTCATAGTTTAAGATCTCTCAGTTACAGAAAACACAGGGACATACCTCTAATTTAAAAGTCTGACCTTTGCTCTGAGGCAATGTAGCTTGGATTTGACACCTGTTGACAACTGTATTACAGGTAAATATTTTTGTTCCTGAGTTGTGTGAGACGCAGATTCTGGTGTCCAGTTATACACAGGGGGTTTTAACATGTTTGTATTATTTATTAAATGAATTTGTGATTTCTTCCATAGGAAACATTTTACTGTTGAATTTTTTTTTTCATTATTTTAATTATCATATAGAATAATTGTCACATGCATGTATATATCTTTGTGTGTATACAGTAAGATAAAATCAGTATGTCCTTACAGTTCCAAATGAACGTTAAACTGTCTTCTGTGTACTTTGTTCTAGTGTTGTGGTAAACTGTTTCATTGTTTTTTCCAGTATGGTGCTTCCCACCCCCAAAATGATCTTTTGCGTGGCACTTTTAAGACTTTGTGTTTCCAGCCCGTCCTCTGCCTGTACACCTGGGCAGATTTTTGCTTTTTTGTTAAAGATTATCTTAATTGGTCCTTCTTAGTTAACTCAGTTTATATTTTTGACACTTGTTATTTACTGATATACCAGTAATTAGGAAATTACTTACCAATCCCCCATTAGGTTGCCAAAGAATGTGATCATTGATGAAGAAGAGGAATTGTACTTTTGTCATCAATGATCCATTTACAATTTTTTTTCTGGACAGTATATTCTAAAATTTTGTGAAGATTTACTGTTAGTCCTACACTCTGAGTGATTTGGCTGATGAAATACTTTTCTGGGGACGGATGTCATGTTGATATCTTTTAAATGATTTGTCAGATTTTTTGTGTGAAATAAATAGACTCATTGTCTCAGATGTGTAACTCAGATAGTTTCAGGCATACAGTAATATTCACCATCAAATTAAAATGTTTTACCTTAATCACTTTTGTGGAATGTGAATTAATAAAGGTTCATTAATATTTCCACAGAATAAAATAAAACACATACTGTAATACATCTGATAGATTAAGTTTCTCACATTTTAAGTGTTTGGATATAATTCAACAAAAACAGTAGTAACTACACTTCAGAAAAAAAAAATTAACAAAATTGAAAATTAATTGTTTCTTTCCAGAGAAAGAATATCTGAACCAGAAAAGATTTCAAGATACTTCCTCTCATATACGTAATAGATAAATACTCAAAAAGATAGAAACAGATATGCAATAGACCTTGTTTTTCTTCAATGCTCTTTTGTTCTTTATGATCTGCCAAACACAATATCGAAGTTTCACATCAGGCTAATGTTAGCCGTTCCAACCATTAATCAAGTTATTCTACTGTTGTTATGTTTTCCAAAAATGAATCTGTCGTTTTTGAAGAGGTTCTTATTATTGTGTGTGCAATTCTTTGAGTGATAATGTAATATTTGGGTAGTATCAGGACTAGGGTTGATTTTGTAGCACATATTGTTTTAAATCTTATGTTCAGAGTTTTTTTAATTGTGTTTTTGATGTTTTCATTCTTAGCTTGTTCAAATACCATTGATGATTTAATGAAATTTTATTGTGAAAACGATGATCAATTTGATAAACAACAAATTGAGTCTATATAAATGAAATGTATCATTGTCTGAAATGTTATGATTAAATTTAGATTTATTTCAGTCTTTGCATGTATTTTTGAGTTATCTTTCTTTGGTGTCTGCTTTGTGTGGTTGACAGCGTTTACATCTGTACAAATTGTATTGTACATATGTGTTGGAGATGGTTGATTGTGTAGGCATTGTAATAAGTTCTATATTGGTCACATGTTCATTGATTAGGTTGGTAAAAGTTTTCCAATGTTGTAGTGTTTATTTTTTGTCTTCTGAGTTCATACTATAAATAAGATCACCACATTTGTATTCAAAGAAAATTGAAATGTTAGATTATCAGAGAAGTTTAAGAATAATAACAGAAGACTAAGTATAAGAACTATTTGTGTTGTGATGATTTAATATCTAAAAAAAGATGAAGGATAACACAAAATGAAAGACAACACAATTCTTAAGGTCTGTATCTGATATGTCAACGACTTAGTAAAGTATTGTTCTAAATTTAACATGATTTATAAATGCAGAATAGGATGAGTTCAAACCTGTTATAGAGGCATATGCATAAAGCTAATGAGTTTAGCTCTATAAACTAAAAATTAGTGTCGGATATAGACAGAAATCAGGTTTAACTTAGTGCAGAACTTTTAAAAAATCTTTTATCTCGAGGGTTGAGGTTTAACTATTTAAGTAACACAGAGAGATGATTTTTTTTCTCTCGCACTTTCCTATATCTTTTGGAGTTGAGAAATGTTTCTAGCTCATCTGACAAAAGAGCCACTGGTCACATTTGGTTGTATTGTATATTTAATATGGCTCAGACATATAAATGAATTTTTTTGATTCCATGACATTAGAAATAAATGTTTCACATGATTGTGTTGTTGGTTTATAAAGTTTTAATGATGTGTCAAACTCAGTTCTAGAAGTTTTCAAAAATGACTGCTTCATCAAGTAAATCCTTACACCCTTGTTAGCACAGCAAGAGAAACATTGTTCAGTTGGATGTTTAAATTTTAATTAAATGTTTGATTGGAATACATTTTTTAATCTTTTATTTAATATTTGTGTGAATGTTTTAAAATGTTATTTGATTGTTTTTTAAATAAGTGGTAATGACAATGATACATATTGATATGCCAGAACCAGGCCTACACTCTGGTAGACTGGTTGGTGTTAAACTTTTTACCCATAGCATAATGTCCATGCGATTTTATCGGTGTTCAACAAAGTTTCACACCTACGTATAACATGGCATTAATCAGAAGTTCTTTACATAAAGTGTTTTGTTGACATTAGCTTTTTTTCGCAAGAATTATATCTGTCACTGTACATCAGAAATATGTTTAGTCCCTATACATTAATTGCTCTCCATAGAAGGTTAAAGGTCATAAGAAATTTAATGATTTTTTTTTACTTGCGATGTTGAGGTTAACAATAAAAAAATAATACATATCTGTATATGAACTGTAAATCATATATTTTCGTAAGGCTCAAATTTAGTTTTTTTTCTGACTTTTCCAGATGTTTTTATTTTTGTTGGCACTTGATTTTGTGGTTAAACCTTACTTCTAAAATCCGCTAATCCTATAACCCCCTAGATTTACCCATGAATTCAACAGAAAATAATCCCCCGCGAAAATTAATGATTTTACAGGAAGTATATAAATGATTATTTATATAGAAGTACATTCTTTATTACTAGTATTTATTATAAGGTAATACTTGATATCTTGATTGTATGAAATAACAAGAGGGTAAAATCCAACTACCTTTTTGTGAGCGAGTTTTAATTTCAAAAATTTTCACATGATTACTTATAGATACAAAATTCTTACTGTTTGTGAATGCCTTTCCCTGCAGATCACAGAGATTTGGCATGAATTCCCGACCCATGGTCCATACATATGTATTGTAGTCACTGTGACACACATATATGGACATTGGGTCCAGAATTTGTACCAAATCCCTGTGCTACAGCTGATGGTCAGCAACTGACTAAACAGAATTTATAATGTATTGTAAGGGAATGGCTAATTTCAGATTTCCAAGTAAAGACCAACTTTTTGTTTTGCTGATAATCCTAGATCTGTTGTACTGGCATACAGTATAGGGTTTTACATAGCACTGACATGACAGCATATGCACAAGTGAAAGATACAAGGTCCTGAGAACTGGGGCCTATTCATTGATTTTAAATTCAAGAATGGCAGGGCTTTATTATTAATACAGGCATTTGACCCCAATTTTTTGCAAATGACTAGAAAAATGACATACTACCAATCTTTGTAAGACCATCATGTGGTTTTGGTTTTTAGACCTTGTGTAGGTGACTAGACCATTACATACCCATTTTATGTGTTTTCTGAATAATAGATCCTGGTTTGTGTTACTGTTGAATATTGTAAAAATAGTCCTATTGTGTCTTTTCTGAGATAGCACTGGTTATAAGCCTATGTCGGAGGATAAACCCACTCATACCTATTTCTGTTCAGTAGAATAGAATGTACCAGCATAAGCTATTTAATTGTCCTGTAATAAGCCCACCCCCTGACTGACACAGAGGTGATGTTTTGTTCCCTTGGTCACATTGCAGGATAAATATGGAATACAGACACATAGCCACAGTCAAAACGTTTACCGTCTAACAACAAAGAGATTTAGTCCAGCGTTGTGAGGATTGCCTCCGAGCCTATAGTTCATACCAAGCCTGCTGTAGAGCATTGATCATATTTAATGTGTAACAACGCGAGCAAGGTGTTCAAAGTGGTACCACTAATACTGATACTAATCTTAGTATTTCCAGGTGTTTTGATTTTGATTTTAAAAAATGTCATTTAAATTATAAGTTCATGTTTACAAGGTTTTATATTATTGGAAGTTATTGTTTTAAAATAAAGAAATAAAACTGAAGACAAAATAACATTCTAAAAAGTACCACTTTAGAATTAGAATTTGATATATTAAAACGCTTTGAACAAATTGGCCCTGTTGTAAACGATGTCCTGGATTTTACCAACAGCTATGAGAATATGATATTTACCTAACCATTCAACCATTTGTGTGTCATGTATTGTTGAAGTATGGTACCAGACAAGGATCCGAGAGGGGATTACTGGCAATGTCAGTTGTTTGATTTTATTTAAGACTTTGTGCCAGATGTATATTTCATTGTTTTAAGGTTTGTATGCAAGGGCTGTCATCAATCATTCACAGAGTTAGCAAATATTTGCTTATATGAATGAATTTGTGATCCCGAGATGAATGCCCGAAGGTCAAGAGAATGTTCTACTAACTTGTAGCTGTACAGTGAAACAGTGTTTGATTTTTTAAGCAAAATATGGAATAGAATCATCAACAATAATAAAAAAAAACTAATACTCAAATGGAGTTACTGTTTTACTTTTCCTTCCAACAAATGTGTTACATGGACTAGATTGAAATTAATCCCTATCTGTATATAAGTTATTCAGGGCAGTTGATAAGTTATGCAAGTTTGTACAGACTAATCACTGTAGTTGTTGGGGCTGGGTCCATATATTTAATAGAGAGTGGACCGATTTTGCTTTCATATAGGGCTACAGGTACATTATGTAATTTCTACCCCGCAAGTTCAAACCTTCACTTGTGTATTTATCACATTTCAACAAAAGGACTTTATTTTTTGGAACATTTTCTTCGGGTAGTGATGTCAATAAACCAATAAGTTTGTATAATATAACCAGTAGAAGTGTGACGTTTCGATAATTACACATTCACCTTCATCAGACAAATGACCACTGTGGAGCGTCCTATCATTGAAATACCATCTCGTCACACTCTTTTTGACCCTAGTGTACATAAGATAACTGAAAAAGTTGGTTGATTTCTTACCAGCTCATACAATACCTACGTCAGTGCTAGTACGCTCCATACTGGTCATTTGTCTGATGAAGGTGAACGTATAGTCATTGAAACACCACACTCTTAATCTTCTGCTGGTTGTGTTATAAGAATTTCTGTTCTATACATGGACCTGTTTCACTGGGGTGGCATGGTTTCCAAACTTAACCCTTTGGACTGTACATTTTATTGAATACAGATCGAAAACAATGCAATAGAATAAGAGCTAGACTGACTGACCTTCATGTTAACTGTCGAGGGATCTTTTGTTTTTACCTCAAAAGATTCAAAATTCAAGTCCCAAAACTGAATGCTGTTATCATACGTCTTATAATCGAAATACTGACATAATGAATATATTAGTAAAGTTTCGAGAAGATTCCTTCAGCAATAGAGATAACAAGAATACCACAAAAGAAATGATGATTGATGGCAGTACTATGTACTCTCCTTAAAGGAGACCAAGAAATCGGTTGGAATCTAGAATAAGAGATATATACACAATATTAAAATGCCAAAAAAGGGCAATAACTGGTCATATTTAAAAAAAAAACTTGAAACTGAATGCCATTTTGAAAAAGCATATTTCATCTTATCAAGTATAATTTTCAAAGAAATTGGTTTAAAAGTGAAAGAGGATGTCTCCAAATTAGAATACAGAGAAAACAAAGAGCAATAACTCTAAAAACAATTGAATCTGACACCCATACAGGAACACACAATCCCGCATTATGGTTATAAAGCTAACAAAATTTCTAAGAATATGGTTAAAACTGAATGGTGAGACTCCAGGGCAAGATTAGAATCAGAATTTATTTTAAAAGGATATGTTTACTGTGAGCAAAGAATCGTAAACACTTCTCATGTCAAAATTGTTGATGTGTATATAATGACTGGTAATTAAATGTCTAAAAATCTTGTCCGGGCCATGACTTCAAACATGTTGAAGATATCTTGACAAAATTTACAGCTTACTCTCATCACCTACAACTGTAGTGCACAATGATGATATCACTTAAAGTCAAGGTCAAATAAATTAATTTTTTTCTATTGTTTTTATTTTTTTGTCTAGGCGATAACTTTAAAGGCATTTTAATGGATACCTTTATCACTCACGCAGTGAATTGGTTTGTCATTGGATCATTTCGATCTTGTCCTCAAGGTCAAAGGTCGAATAAGTGAATTGATTTTGTTCATTAATTTCTCGCCTGGGCGATGATTTTAAGATTGTTAATGACATCTTAATTAACGATAAAATTAATCGTAGCCAATGTGTTTATTCACTAAAACATATATCTAGTTGAATTTGACATTTAGAGTTTGTTAGTGCTATTTCTGAAGACATTGCTTTAGGTCTAATTTAGAGATTTTCAAATCATAAGGAACATGTTCGATATTGGTTCTTGTTGAGTATTCAATAACAAGATCGATATACAACATGGCTGCTGGCAGCCATCTTGAAATCCAGTGACGATAAAGATAAAGCACGAATAGTAATCAAGGAAGTTCAAAATAAAGTATGCACAACTAGAACACGTAATGGGCATGTTAGCAATTCATGTAATCACTTCAGTAATCATTACGAAATTTCAAAATAACTTTAAAATGCAAAAAATAAAAAAATCTAATGAAACTTAATGTTCGGCATGCAAAATTTAAGGATCCATGCCGATAATGTTCATAATGTTTAAAGAATATTCATCAGTGATACTTTACAAATAACAGATATAAATGTGTAAATGTGTAAATTCAAAACAGCGACTGCTGCCATTTAGACAGAATGGATAAACCACGGTCGAAAAGAAATTTCGAAAGAACATCATCTAAAAGACAAAAGCCTGAAATGAAGTACATTTTCTCATATACGAAGGCATTATAAGTTACTAACCCTGAGATCTTCAGTCACTGGATTGTTAAAACTGCATTTCTACCATGAACAGTGCGTGTTATTGCTGGAGTTGTGCTTCAACAAGTGTTGGAATGATCATGGTCTAAGTTTAAAAGGGAAAACTTGCCGAAAGATGCCATCACATGACGGTGTAGATGAGCTAAAATAAATGAAAACCATCCATCACAGTCAGGACAACCGTATAACAAAATATCAGTATTAATAAGATTAAGGTTATTAGAATAGTTTCTGATAGAAATAAACAGATTAACTCTCAATTCGTCATAGAGGGGGCATTCTAGGATATAACGATAAACAGATTTAAGTACATAGGTACAGGGAAATACTGAGCTTTCAACTAAATAATCATGGTATAATCAAAATTAAGGTAACTTGTTTAAAGATGAGAGAGAGTAATGTCTGCCTTTCTATCACCTTCAGGTTTAAAGATTCTGATATGTCCTCTCACGAATTCTGTCTTTGTCTAACACATTTAAAATCATCGAATGAAGGGGCATTGTAAAAATTGTTATCATTATAGAGTGCGACACAGACGTGAAGAAGCTATTAAAGTAGTTCTTATGTTTACAAATTGATGGATTAAAAAGTTTTATTTCACGAAGGGAATAAGAATGATCATTAGGAGTGTTAGGGGAATCAAGACCTCTAGCAAATATTGAGGTTTAAGTCCATGCATTATTTTGTACATCATTATTTGTTTATATTTTGATCATCTTGTTGATAGTATTTCCTATCCCTGTTCAGAGTAAAATTTGTTATGTGAAGTTCCTGATCGAAACCCTGTTATGATCCTAGCTTCTAACTGTACTTATTCTAGAGAATCTTTTAACTGTTGTGTGCATTTACCCATACTATGTCAGCATATTCAAGAATTGATCAAGTAAATGAATTGTGAATAGTGATTAATTATTTTAGTTTTAATAGGGCGGAGAATATTGAGTCTATGGTTGGCTTCTTCATACATTTTCTGAAGTTCTGTGATTTCCAAAATGCATCATTTGTCAAAGTTAGTCCTAAGTGACATTTCAATAATTGATTAACTGAAGAATCACCTGGTATGAATCCGGATTGATGCTGAGTTATGATAGAATTCCCTATCAGATAGTTATATAAATACTTTTATAGTTTTTCCCTTAATTTTGCTGAAACAAGAAGTTATTGAAATTCGTCTATAGTTCAAAACACCACAAGTCGAGCTTTTACCGTGATAAACTGCATTAACATTTGTTTGTTTCCAACTACTTAGTATAGCACTTGACTCTAAAGATTTGTTAAACAGTGATAAAAGAGGTAGTGATAGTGATGTCTCAAATATTACCGCAATGTTTGATATGATTCCACTAGGACCTGCTGGTTTTGTAGCATTCAGAATGTTTAATGGGTTACATAAATCTTGCTGAGTTATATGGATATTAGGTAGTGAAAATGGGGTAAAGGGTTGAGGAGTGTGAGGAAGGTCAGGTAATGATGTGGAGAGTTTTCTGAAGTGATTGTTAAAGATTTCTACTTTGTCAATAGGATGATGGAAAATTTTATTATCATATCCAAGAGGAGGGAAATAAGAGTATTTGTTATGTTAGAAAAGCTGGCGATATACTTAGCTATCTTCCACCATTTATCTGGATCAACCATATTATCAAACGTTGGTATGGTTATCGTTAATGATGAACGTTCCATTCTATGTATAGAAAAGCAAGCGTGAAATTCACTCAGCCGTGTTATAAGCGAACGGTCAGCTGGTGATCTGTCGTCTTTGATTAGTCTAAATACACGGCATGGAAACTATGTCACCATCTTCATGTTACTTAATATATGACATAAACAATCAGACACACGGACATATTAGTAGGTTCTTAGTAAATGTTAAACTGACGAAAGAAAATATTTATGTCAGCATTGTGATCTTTAACGATACTGGCCTGTACGGTTTATAGTGCTGCCGTATTTCAATCACAGATGGATCATTGTCGTTGTAAGCAGCTGTAGGTATTGTTTGTGTAGTATGCAGCCACAACATATCACAAATCAATACTTTGCGTACCAACCCCAGGTTCATCTTCATATAATACAGCCGAATAGAGTGCAGAATGTATCACAGGTACAAGCGCGAAATCAAGGTAAGTTTATATTCACCTACACAAGAATCAGGAAGTGTTTTCATTTGACCAGGTAACACACAAGACTATCTTTGGTTTTGCGGTTTTCGTAAGTACATGTATATATTTGAAGTAAATAACCGTCAACAACTGATAATGTAACAATTATTTAAACATTTATCGCATATTTTATCCAATTTCAGAAGTATATCGGCAACACCGCGGTGATATATCAAGGAAGTTCAAGGCTATTGGTGTGGTGTACTTCTCCCTGGGTGTTCTTTTGATGTTCATTGGAGCGTTAGCTATTTACTACGGAGCCCCGGATATACCATATGTAATCCCTGTCCATATTGTTACCGCTATCATGGTAGGAATATATGAATATTATTATAACCTAAAGTAGGATTTTAGGGTAGAATATGTAATAGTGGCATACAATGATATATATTACATTAGATATATACCTTATCAATAAAAACAACCAGCCAATATTCAGCACTGGAGAGTGTACATGTATGGACTATTGTCCTGTGCTGCGTTCCATTCAGGGTGACTTCGGGTTGATTCTTGTTATAATCATTGAATGATATTATTACCATTAAAACTGTTAGTACTTATTGTATCATCGCATTTGTCTCAAATAATTATGAATTATGTCAGTACCATTCGCTGTATTCATTATCTGACTGATGTGTATATTTGGTAATTATACTGAGGCTAACATAGGCTATGTCTGTTGCCTGATTTCTTTTGTCATTTAAATCATGACAATATGATATGAATAGACGGTTTGCACCAGGCCTCGCATTTTACAGACTAACGTTCTAGTGATAAATAATGTATTTAACATTTTTCTACAAATGAATAGTTTTATGTCTATTTCTAGGATTGAATTTAATACGTTATAAACTATCCACATAGAAACGGTAAATGAAATACACGTTTAAGTATGTCTCCTTATAACACATAACAAATCGAAATAACTTTCATTGCTAATCAGGCTTGGTGATTTTATTTAAAGCATGGGTTCTGCTATAGAATCTCACTTTTAATAAAAAAAATTCTTCATTTCTGCACTAACTGCAAAAAAAAAAAAAAAAAAAACGATTTTGAATTCAGATTAAATTTAGTCAGATTTGGAAGTAATGATGGTGATTTGTAAACAGTGAATTATTGTCGTCTAAAAGACGTGTGTTCAAGGTAAAGCTGGTGAGAGAGGATTTAATGATGTAAGATGCACAGGAAGATTCATCAAAGCAAAAAAAATAGATAAGTAGATGAAATATTCGGCATCGATAGCTTTATCTGCAATAACAATTCACACCCTTAGTCTTAAAAGAAACGATTTCAAATGTTTAAATTTCTAAGTTACTGATTCACACAGGTGCTTATTATTTCATGAAAATATAGAGGTGAGAAATGCTGCGTATATAAATCGTTGACAGCCTTGTTCATAGCTCTAGAACTATAAATGTTAGCTGCTTTGAGTGTATTTGAAATAAGACGCACAAACCAAATATATTATTGATGAATACGACGAAGTGTCACTCGGCCAGATATTACCATGTTTATACTGCTAATACACTACAATATCACTATGGTATAATGTTAGAAGCATCGTTTTGCTTCGTGTTTCACATCCTTGCAATAACCAGGGTCATAAAGCCTGTGTCAGTGGATGATAGGATCCTTGACGGGCGCTTGGGAAGCATTCTATTATAGTATCATATCACTTGCAAATTTGTAGATTTGTAAATAACGTCGAAATCATAGTACGACAACTCAATCGGTCACATCAATGATCATCATATGACAGAGTGAGTTATGTACAAATATGACGTTATTAAATGAATGTCGTTATAAGTTGTGCGTAATTACCAGTTAATCGTTCTATCTGCGTTATAGCAGGTGTGATATGTATACATATATGACGTCATTACATTTATGACAATACCACTAGTTTGACATTAGTACAGGTATGGCGTTAATGCAAATGTATGACGTTAGCACAGGTAGGAAATTATTACAGATATAACATTAATGCAGGTATGATGCTATTACAGGTAAGATGTATTTCAGGTATGACGTTAATACAGGTATGATGCTATTACAGGTAAGACGTTTTTACAGGTATGACGTTAATACAGGTAAGACGTTTTTACAGGTATGACGTTAATACAGGTAAGACGTTTATACAGGTATGACAGTTTTACAGGTATGACTTTTTGCAGGTATGACGTTAATACAGGTAAGACGTTAATATAGGTATGACGTTTTTATAAGTATGACGTTCATACAGGTAAGACAGTTTTACAGGTATGACGTTAATACAGGTAAGATGTTAATGCAGGTATGACGTTTTTACAGGTATGACGTTAATACTGGTATGACGTTTTTACAATCATTACGTTGTTACATATATGACATAATTACAGATATTTTATCAAATATTTTCAAATGTCCGTCTTTTTACTTTTTATATGAAAACGTTTATTTCGACAGTTGTGTGCCGCCGGGATATGCTCTTACCTGGCTGGAAGACGAACACAGACAGAAGATTCAGTATCTCCACAAATCAAATGCTTGGCAAGTACACGTACAATTGTTTATAGCTGTGAGAGAATTACATGTTCTAATGTTAAAACTAATATCAGAGTAATTTTCCAAACATTATCGGAGAGAATAAGGAAAGATGATTTAAATATTTAACAAAACACCAATAAATATATAGTTTTCATTTTCACTTTGTAATTCCTCGTAGGTAAAAAACGGCAACGATAATAGGAACAAAAACGGTTTTAATATCGCTGTTGATACATTTGAAGTCGGTCTTTGGATTACAGGTTTAAATCAGGTACTTCCATAATGGTCTATTAACTCAGATAATTGCGTGAGGGTTTGATGTTGTACTTGTCTATACTTTGTAATTACTCGAACAAAACCTGGTCCTATAACGTGTAAGGGCAATTGATAAAGTAGGTGCATGGAGTTGCTATCTATATTCCGTAACTATAAAACCTCATTCCTAATTTGTATAAAATGCATTATTTTTACCCATGATGGATTTGACAAACATTCAATCTGCACTGTATGAGACAAATGACGCGAGGATGATCCCAAATACGTTATAACCAGATAAAGGACCATTCCAAATTTTCATTTCCTCGTTAATGTATTGACGTAATATAACACCAAATAAATAAATTACATGCAACACAACCGATTGGTCTTAAAACTATTAAGACGCGAAAAATGTCAAGATAATACCGGGAAATCATACTACGAAATCTACCTAGGAAAATATCTCATTTCGCAAACCTGATTTAGGCGTTGAAGGCTCGACATGCCGGATCTAAGTTATATTATGTCTTTTGTACAATCTTTTAGATAACAGGTGGTAGACATAATTGATGGACATAAAGTCCCAAAGGTTTGCTTTAACCTGCATATCACGTTTTAATGCATAAAAATAGTGGCACGGTTCAGAACATAAAATGTACTTAATGTGTTTCAGTGTTAAAGTTTTTTTATTATCTCATAATAAATTTTTTTTTTTTTTTTTTTTTTTATTTTTTTATTTTTCAAGAGTTTTTAATGTACATAACAATTACATCAACAAAACATCATCAAACATACAACATACAATATGCTCACTCACACATCACCATAATCTTGATTAAGTTGTATCATCATCATCATCATCATCATCATCACCACCATCATCGCCTGGCATTTTCATCAACACCCTTACTAACATCACAACACTACCCTTACACACCCACTCCTACACATACATCAATACTACACATAAAGATAAAGAGGAGAGAAAGAGAAAGAGAGAGAGAGAGAGAGAGAGAGAGAGAGAGAGAGGGGGGGGGGGGGAGAGAGAGGTGATCTGGGTTAGTAAAAATTGCAATAATCAGCGAAACAATAGGGACTCGAGTATAAAGAAAAATACCTGGTAAATAAATAAATAAATAAATACTATAAGGGTAAGCAAGGGGCCTGCTATACTGTAAAGACAGAGAATACTAAAATACGGTAAAACATACTACATGACAGTAAATGTATTTAAAGTTAAGAATTGGCCAATTCCAATAATTTTCTCCATTTTCTCCATTCCTCATTAAAACTTAACTGTGCCTGTTCACCTTTACTATTGGCAATATATTTCTGAAAGGTATAAAATTCCCTGACTGAATAAATAAGACTATATACACTTAAGGCTTTGTGTTGACATCTTGCCTTATATATGTAATATTTAATGATAATTAAGATTTCATTGTCAAGTTTGCTACTGATTAACTGATTTTTATTAGCAATGAAACCAAACAGAAAACTTATTTTATTGAAGGAAAATGGAATAAAAAGAGCCTCCAGCAAAACTTCTACACTTTCTAAAAATTGTTGAACTTCTGGACATTCCCACATAATATGAATAATTGTCTCCTTTTCTAAGTTACAGAATGTACAGTGTGGGTTATTCAGTAGTCGAATTTTAAACATGTATAAATTTGTTGTTAAGATGTGTTGAACCACTCTGTACTGAAACCATTGAAGTTTTGTATTTTTTGTTGCACGAAAACAATTTTTATAAATATCCCTCCAATTTAGAACATCAAATTCTAATATTTCTTCCCATCTTTTCCTCCCAGTAGAAATTATATCGTTTTTTACTAAAAGATTATATATATCTTTTGACCCATTTCCTTTTTTTACAAAACACTCAATACTACTTGGAATGGTTGGAAAAACTTGAGAGGTACATGTTCTTACAAAGTCAGATCTAGCTAAATATGACTTAACCACAGAGACTACACCATGGTATTCAAGGAAATTTGAATTTACATTATAAATTTGCTTAAAATCTTGAAAAGTGTAGAAAGTGCCAGTAGAAAAATCTTTGAATAAATCATTAACTATCATCACTCCCTTATCATACCATGTCTTGTAGAATATACTTGTCTTCCCTATCAACAAATCTTTATTATACCATAAAGGAGTTTTCCAAATATTTTTCTTAACATATTCTACCCCCACCCTTTCACTGAACCTCAACAGGGCTTTGAAAACATCACTCCAGAAATTATTTCTACAGATATTACAACATTTCTGAATGTAATCACTTCCACAGGAAGATAGCATATGTAGGTCAATATATGTTTGAAGAATTGCTTGCCATTTAGCAGATTTCTGGTGTAATCTTCTAATCCAGCCTAATTTCAGACTATCTATAAACAACTTTATATCTACCATTTTAAGTCCACCGTTATCAAAATTCTGGGTAACAATATCTCTCTTTACCTTGTCAGTTTTACTGTTCCATAAAAAGCTAAAAAGGATGGAATTGAGCTTATTCAAGAACTGGTTGTCTGGGTTTGGCAAAGACATAAATAAATGGTTAAACTGTGATATCATTAAAGATTTAATAAGATGAATTTTCCCAATTGGAGTCAGTGATCTCCTATTCCACATCTTAATGATAGATTTCAATTTAATTAATTTTTTATCATAGTTTAATTTTGGAATTTCATGAAGATTGACACTGAATTCAATTCCAAGAAGCGTGAATTTGACCTTTCCCCACTGTAATTTCAAGTCAGGTAACAAAGTATCTTCACTATATTTTTTACTTCCTATCCAGATCACTTGTGTTTTGTCAATATTTAGACTCAAACCAGAGAATTTTGCGAAAGCATTCAATTCTAAAATAGATTCTTTTAATGATATTTCAGAGCCATCTAATATAAGAGAGGTGTCGTCTGCATATTGTGAGATAAGAATTGGAATATTACTGATGTTTATACCCTTAATGTTTTTGTTATGTTTTAGTTTAATGGCCAAAATTTCAACACAGAGAATAAAGATATATGGCGCGATTGGATCACCTTGTCGACAGCCCCTTCTTATATTGATGGATGAAGATACATTACCACCTTGATTAACAAAAGCACTGACATTAGTATGAAAAACTTTTATCCATTTACGAATATCTGGACCAAAATTAAAGAATTTGAAAACCTTGTCAATAAATTTCCATGAAACGGAATCAAATGCTTTCTCAAAATCTATCATTAACAGCATTCCGGGAATATTTTTTTCCTCTACATGTTGCATAATGTCATATATTAATCTTGTGTTCTCCCCAATATAACGACCTGAGATAAAACCTGACTGATCCTCACTAATTAATGTGTCTAAAACTTTCTTAATTCTTCTAGCTATGGTTCCTGATGCAATTTTATATACTATATTCAACAATGTAATTGGTCGCCAATTCTTAAGAAATTGTCTAGACTTATCTCCCTTTGGAATACATACTATAACCCCCTGCCTTTGTGTTACCGATAACCTCCCTTTTTCATAACCCAAATTAATAGACCTTAAAATGAACCCCCCAAGATATTTCCAAAAACATTTAAAAAACTCGACAGTAAAACCATCCGTACCTGGGCTTTTATTATTTTTCATACACTTCAAAGTAATTGTTGCTTCCTCCAAAGTAATTTGCCCTTCTAAACTTTCTGAAACAGCGTTATCTAATTTCAAAACATTACAACTATTTAAGAGATCATTTAAATTGACATCTTCTACACTTCTATTATCATCATATAATTTTTTGTAAAATGACCGTACTTCTTCAAGAATTTCATCTTGTCCAGTTAATGTGCCCTTATCCTCTGTTTCTAACTTGGGTATAATTTTGGAGGTAAAATTTCTGTTTTCTAGATTGAAAAAATATTTTGTTGGTTTTTCTCCTTCCTCTTGCCATCTCGCTCTAGATCTAACAATGCTACCTTTAATCCTATCTAATCTTATTTTTTCTAATTCCTTGTTCAAATGCTCTAATTTCTCTGTATCTACATGGTCTTGATCTTCAATGTTTTGTATTTCATTTCTTATACTTTTTTCAGCCATATTTTGTTGTTTTTTTCTGTGAGATGAATATGAAATTGTTTTGCCCCTGATTTCCATCAATAAAGTTTCTAGAAAAAGCTGGTCATCAATCATGAACTGTAAGTCTGTATCTGGGATATTCTCTATATTATTATGATTATAAATAGGAAGACAATATTGTGTTTTTATTTCCAAGATGGTCTGTTTTATTAGTTTTAAATAATCTTCATCATACAATAAAGAAGAATTGAATTTCCAAAATCCTCTACCACGTTTAAATTCATTAAATTTTAGATTAAGAAATGGAAAAGAGTGGTCTGATCTGTAACTCGGCTCAATGCAAGACTTATTTACACTAGATAATAAGTTTTCAGAGATAAGAAAAAAATCTAACCTTGATTGCTTCAGAGGATTTTTTTTCCTCCATGTGTATCTTTTACTATCTGGATTTACTTCCCTATAAATATCTACTAAAGAATAATTTTCAATGATTTCTAAAACCTTTTCTCTGGCCTTTGAATTATTAATATTTTTATAACTACTATCATAATCAAGATCCGGATTAAGAACTAAATTAAAATCACCACAAACAATATATTTGTCATTCCCAAATTCATCTAATGTATTAATTAAAGTATCATAAAAAAGTGGCGAGTCAGTGTTTGGACCATACAGTGTAATAAGTGTAATATCTGACCCCTCCATAACAATATCCAATGCTAAAAAATTTCCCGATTGGTCCTTCTTTTCCCTCTTAACCTTATATTCAAAATTGTTATTAAATAAAATAGCTACCCCTCTTGAACTGGACCTGAAAGAGCTAAAAAAACATTCAAAACCCCACTGACTTCTAACAAAAGTTTGATTTTCTTCTGAGAAGTGCGTGTCTTGCAGACAGTAGATTGAATATTTTTTTGATTTCAAGTATGAAAAAACATCTTTTCTTTTATTGTTATCCCCGAGACCCTGACAATTTACCGAAAGTAACGATATACCGTCCATTACCTTACTATATACTGCTGAGAAGTGCGAATGTAATAACCAATTTAAGCCAACATAATGCAAGTTCTAACCCAGACATTGAGTGAAGAAAGAAAGAAAGAGAGGGAGAGAGATAAATTTTGATAAGAAAAAGATGTAAAAACATATTAATATGGTCAAACAATCATACCAACTGTAACCAAGCGCCCCTTTTCTTAGATATAAGGAATAGCTGCAGCACGTGTACCATGCGCCGGAATACATTTACACCGGAAGTAGTATACTACTTTTAAAACCAGATATGGAAAGATAATTCCGGATATCTGGATACAAACAGTAAAGGTCTCTCAGGACACCGAATCGTTAAAGATCATTTTTGATTCTACACAATATTGTAGAGAACTAAAAATAAATGCTCATCACAATGAACAATTACATAAATATTGGAAGATATTGCCATAGATAGGATATCATTGTTACTTACCAGAGCATAAGCACGAACTTGTCCACTGCATACCTTCCATATAGAAAAGAACTCACAGACACATTTAAAATAAATAGCTAAACACACAAACACTTAGTATATATAATGTGCTAGTCTGATCGGTAAACCAGAGAAAGACCCTCTCTGGCGGTACTAGCGTACCTAAAAGTCACTTACCGATCATAACCTAACGGTCATATTTCCCGACTTTGAAGTTGTCATCATCTGCCAAGAACTCGTCCGTAAGCTCAGTATCGTTCCACAGTCTGCGCTTTTTATCATTATTCAAAATAACAAATAACTTTCCGTCCATGCTGTACGAATGCTTAACACTTTTAAGTTTATAAGCCTCTTTCAGTGTGTCCTGGTTCCGCTGAGTTAAGTCCTCAAACACTATCAGCTTCTTTCCCTTGAGGTTTCTTCTGTTGCTCAGAATCTCTGTCTTCTTCCTTCTATGTGTAAATTTACATATGATCGTCCGTGGTCTGCCCCTATTAAACCGTCCTAACCTATGGGCAATATCAATATCAGCGGGCTGTAAGTTCACCTTCACACTATCACGGACGAACGACACAACCTTCTGCACACATTCCTCCACTGTCTCTTTCTCGTTGTTGTCTTCCAATCCCACTATCCGGATAGAATTCTTCCTTCCTTGCTGTTCCAAATCGTTTAGCTGATTATGTAGACTTGAGTTAACTCTCTCCGTCTCAATCACGTGTATCTCAAGCTGCTTGACTTTATCTCTTAAAACGTCGTTTTCCTTCTCCAAATCAAAAATTCGACCCTCCCACTGATCAACAATAATTCTATTTTCCTCTCTGATGTCTTCTCTAAGTCTTTCTAATTTCTTATCCATAATCTGTTCCATATCTGACTTGGTCAATAGGACAGACACCATATCGAACAAAGCTTCGATTCGGTCTTTCTCTGATGATTCGGCAGACGTATCCATTGGTTTGCTTGATGAACTTCTAGTAGATGTAGTAGACCTTCCCGTACTTATTCTCCGTCCCGATCCCGGCATAATTACGTACAAATAAAGTCCATTCAAAGACAGTAGCAGCGCATACAGTCCAAACACGGTCCAACACAATAGAAGTTACCTGTATAGGTAAACGTACACGTATATGTATAATACTGGGCACTGGTTAACAGTTGTCGCACACCTTGGTCAGTCCATTGTTCTAAGCATTTTGTATGAAAACACACATTTCAACAAAACTTTTTCCATGAAATCACACAGGATGTAAAGCATAAGTATATGCTTGTATCACATGCTAAATCTTAGCTAGCTGCTCGTGTTGGAAAATGGCAAAATTCTATAAATTTTGCAGAGCTCAACAGGTACACGACTGACCAGGTCCGGCTGACCTTGACCTTCATATCTCATAATAAATTTTGCTATCTCGCACCGGAACGGAAATTATTTCACATTTGTTAGTTCTATTGCAGAATATACTATTTCAGTTACCTGCAGATCGCCTTAAATTGTTTATCTTTTTGATGTTTAATATTTTTCAGGTGTCTACGATATTCTGTCTGACCATTGGAATGATATCATTTTGTTTCGTGACAGCAGGTATAAATGGAGCAATGGGCATCGCTTTTTGTTTTGGTATAGAATACTCGCGGTCAGGAAGTGTTCAGAATGTTAACGACATGTGTACAAAAAACAAAGATCAGAACGTTATTATGTCCAGTGTGATCATCGGTGTAAGCGTTCTGGGAGGACTATTCTGTATTCTGGTTACTTGTTTCTTTTGTGTGTTTCGCCGGATTTTTGGCTTACAAAAGGAACGTCCACGGAGACAAATACTTTTTTAGCACTATAGAATATAAATGGTCGTTGTGTTTTCAGCTGATAATATATATAAATCAAAAAGAAATCGTACAACACTACAGTATACAATTAAGCATATAGTTCTGTTATGCATATGTTTTAGTACAAGTTACAAATGTAACGTTATATCTATCATTTCATATTCTGACAGGAATAATGTATTTACATAGTCCGTAATTGTAATCTCTATTTCATTTCCCATGTAATGTTTGTCATCCAGAGTAGTATTCCTTGCACTCCAGATATCCTATCACGTGGGTTATATCTCTAGTTTAGTAGTTTGCTGAGTCACTGCAATGTAAAATAACTTTTTAGTGCAGTTCCTATAGATTACTAATTTAAACTTTTAAAATGTTGGCAGTAGCCATGGATCTACAATGTGCCATGTGATCTTCTGTTCTATACAAACTGACTAAAATGAAATTAAAGAAAAATATTGGTAAAGCTGGTTCTTACTGCGTCATTTGAATTAGGATTTTTAATGAATGAGTTGTATAACAAGTATTTGGAAACACAAATATGACTTTATTTTTGGAAGGGCAAAATAAAAATCAAGTGTAAAACTATAATTGGTTGCTATGAAGAAGGATGTTTAAACGTTTGAGACGTAGAATCACAGTTTGATATGCTTTAGAGTAACTTTGGTAAAGGATGGATCTCGAGCAAATTGGAAAGTAATTCTTATGGAAATTTTAACTCCATTGAACCTATTCTACTAATCTTCAAAAGGAAAATGGGAAAGCTTGATAATCGTTTTCGGAACAAAAGAATCATACTTGACTTTTATAAATTTGTATCGAGCCTTGGCTAAAATTGGGGGAGATTAAACGACCCATTACTCTGGTTTCGCTGTTATCAGAAAAGAGGTGTCATTGGGGGGAAAAAATATCACTTTTAACGGTAAATCTTTAGTGAACACAACTGGTCGCAGGAAAAATTTTAGTCGACACTATCATCTAAAATAAATCAAACGACAAACGAATAAGTAAACTAGCAGCATAAAAGCAATTTCAAATGAGTGGAATATGATTTAAATGGACATTCGGTAAAGACAACCATGAAACAGACAAATTTTGTTCGATACTATCAAAATACAAGAAATGTATTGATATAGTAATTGTAAACAACAAAAACTTACATAAACTAGCTTTAGCTAAATAATTATACAGCCTTACACTAAGGATATATGAAATTGAGGTTTTTTAATGTAAAACCAATTTTCATGATGTAATACTTACCATAACTTTAGTATGCAAATACAGTACCTACACCCATCTTTGTATCCCAACAACAAAAGATTCAAAAGAAAAACAATCCCGCCCTCCCTACGATCCATGAGCCATCACGGCAGGAACGCAGAGTGATCTCCCTTCCTCTAATAACCTTTATGGCGTAAACCCCACAGAGGGGCAGCCAGGCAGATAAGGAAGAGGGGAGGATAGGGTGGGACTCCATAAAGTTATGGTAAGTATTACATCATGAAAATTGGTTTTACATTAAAAAACCTCAATTTCATTTCAGTAATAATTACCATAACTTTAGTATGCGAATTCGTCTTACCGTAGTGGTGACTAGAAGCCAGGCAGCCCCTTCAGCACAACCAAAGTAGTAGGGAGGGAGAACAGAGTGCTAAAGTGAAGGAAGGGACCTCTCTGTGAAAGAGCAGGTGTACCCACATGCCGCCGTACGGAAAGACATGGCCCGGGGCTAACGAGGAGGCCCAGCCACTGACTATGCCACCACCAAAGGTCCCAATGATACAGGCCTTCTGAGTGGGAAGCTAGGGATCACAGATAAAAATCTGTTAAGGTATCCCTGCCCTGCCAGAATACTGCAGACATGACCTCCTGAAAGGAGGACTCATTGAGAGAAGGGCCCAGGATGAAGCAAGGGCCCTGACCTCGTGAGACCGCGCTTTCACTCTCGCCCGAGCCAGATCATCAAAATGCTCGTAAGCATACTAAATCACCTGGCAAACCCACCTGGAAACCGACTGGGAGGAGATATCTCGTTGCCCCTGTTTAATGGGCAAAACAGACGGGATCGAGAGCCCCGCCCCCCCCTGGTTTTATCAAGATAAAACCTAAGAGCCCGACAAGGACAAAGCAACCTATCTCGCTCCTCCGAGCTAGTCACAGTCAGGATCCTGATGGGATCGTGCGAGAACCCCGGAACCTGATTCTTCGCTAAAAACAACTCTATTCATAGCAAAGCCTCTGATTAGGGCAGAAAGAGAGGAGGACTAACCGATCTCCTTCCTGCCATAACAAGCAAGAACTCTGGCAATAGCTGTACGATAGCCAGCAATAGTGCCAGGTGGCAGATAGCGGTACCTAAACAGAGAGATTAGGAATTCCGCAATCAAATGCAGAGGCTTCGAATGAATAAGCTTCCTTGCCGACACACCAATCACAGAAGATCATCCAACGTGACTGGTAGACGGCAGAAGAGGAAGCCCTGATTGATTGCTCAATGCAATCGGACACCTCTTGAGAAAAGCCTGCCTTGGCGTGGCTTCCAGAGATAGCCTCAGCGCGTGAAGGTGGAGGATCTCTGGTCAAGAGTGTGTCGTTCTGGGCCAAGGCTGGCGAAGGAGATTCGGTCTGGTGGGGAGAGCCAAGGGCTCCTCCACCAGAAACGACAAGAGCTCCTGAAACCAAGCTTGCCTCGGCCACAGAGGGGCTCTCAGAAGTAAGGAGCAGTGATGCTCCCAGAACTTCTGTAGAACCCTGCCCACCAGGTTGAAGGGAGGGAATGCATATGCATACGTCCCTTCCTATTCCAGAGAAAGGGCGTCCACAGCCCACGCCTTACGGTCTGGGACCGGGGAGACGAAGGTTAGCAGCTGGTTGTTCAGGGAAGTGGCAAACAGGTCTATAATAGGTCTGTCCCACGCCTGACAATTCCCCTTGAAAATCAAGGGACACAGCTGCCATTCCGTCAACACCGGCTGGTGGCGCCTGGAGAGTGGCCACCAACACACTCAGCCTGCCAGAAAGATGCTTGACCGCTATGGTCAACTGCATGTCCTGGCAGAGAAGATGGATGTGGATGGAGAGGGCACACAGGACATGAGACCTGGTGGCCCCTGTCTCTCCAGATACGCGACAACTGTTGTCGGTAGCCACACTTTGGACTGCAGGATACCCCTAAAGGACTGCAGAGCCAAATGAACAGTCTCATCTCGAGTACAATGATGTGCTCCGAGAGTTATTCGCCAGACCACTCCCCCATCGAGGTAAGCTCACATTCCTGTCATGAACGCGTCCATGAACAGGATCATAGAGGGGATAGGCTTGGTCAGAGGTACCCCGTGGAAAACGTTCTCCTGAATGGTCCACCAGCAAGAGAACTCCCTGACCGACTGGGTAAGCGGGATCCAGGCCTCCTGGATGACGGAACCCAGTCAGACAGGAGGAACATCTGGAGAGGTCCGATGTGAATCCTCCCTAGGGGGACCACATATGCCAAGGAGTTGAGATACCCCAGAAAACTGAGGAACCAATGTACCTGGACAAGCGACCAAGTGATGAAAGTCAGAGCCAGAGCCCTGACCTTCTCAAACTTCTCCAGAGGTGGAAGGGCTAAGCCCCGAACCATGTCAAAATGGTTCCCCAGGAAGAAGAAGTCCTAATATGAAGGAACCTCTGACTTCTCTCTGGAAGGAATGAAGCCGACTCTGAGCAAGAGTTTCAGGACCAGACGAGTGTCCTTCACTAACGATTCCCACACCAAAAGAGGCATGAGGGAGTCGTCGAAATAGATGTGGACGTCTATTCTGCAGGAGTGAAGGAAACACCAGCAGCAACTTGGTAAACACCAAAGGAGCTGTCGTGAGCCCCAAGGGCATCTCTGCCTTGGCAGCATGGTCCCTACTTCCTCCTGGAGCACCCGTGCCCTTTCTGAATCCCCGGGAGGAGGAAAGAAACAAAAACGGCCAGGAGGCGAAGGACGAATCCTGAAGAAGGGGAATACCTAGACCCTTCCTGACCACCGACAAAAGCCCAAGCGTCCTCTGTAATATCCTGCCACTAGGAAAGGAAAGCAGAGAGACGTCCGCCCACAGGGAGTTCCGGATGGGGCAGATCGAGCCCCTGCCAGACCAGAGAATCGTCTGCCCACCCGGAGCCTGAGCCTGCAGGAGAAGGACATGAGCCCGGGAAAGGAGAACCACCGTCCACCCGGCCATACCCTTCGCCTTTCGCGGCCAAGAAGCAGAAATAGTCAGGAACCCTTCTTCTTGCCCCCAGGAGGTTTCTTACCCTTCCTACCCTTCCCCTTGTTGCCGTTGAAGTGAGGTTGGGACTTGGGCTGTGCAGAAAACTGAGCAGCCGAAGACTTCGCCTTCTTCTTAGGAGGCACTGACCCCTGCGAGGCACTGGCCTTCTCAGCCTGAAACCTCTTCACCAGAAGTGCTGAGGCGACCGAGTCCTCCTTCATATCCTTCTGAACCCAAGGAAGAGCTCCCCTGAACAGGGTAGAGCCCTAGAAGGGGGCATTCAACAAGCGGAAACGGTAGGGTTACTGGACTGGGCGGAATTTCAGAACTGAAAACTGCCTAGCCAACATGGCATTGACGAGCAGAGAACCTGCAAGGCTGCCGTGTCCTGTATGTCGGCTGTTCTGTCTCGGATAACCGACACTCAGGCAAATCGGATACCCTGTATAGACAAACTGTCAGGAAGTCTATGTATGACAGAACTTGGATGGAGAGGTGCAACATTCTCTCCATCCTGTGGTGCTCTTTGGGATCGAGCACCACCTGGTCCACTGATTTGCCGGGCCAGGCAGCCAGCTGTCTCAACTCCAGCTGTGCTGGTTGAGAGGCCAGCTGCCCATCATGTGTGGCATAGTCGGAAGCTGAAGCCTCCGACAATTCACCAACACTGAGCTGCAGACCGACAAACCCGAGAGCACGGGTAGAGAAGGAGTCCTTCTCTAAAACCGGAGCCCGGGCCGTGGCCAGAACCGAAGACATGATATTGCCTTCTGGCAGAGACCGATCTGAGCGAACGGAAGCCCGAGGAGCCACCAGGGAACCCAGAAGGATGGTGGATTCAGGCGCCGACGATGCTGAGGCGGTGGGCAAACCTCCGCCCTGAGAATCCGGGAGATGTTGGCCCGGAGGACCCGCATCCCAGAAAGCACATGCTGAGCCTCAGCTTCAGCAGTCTCAGGGCCATCTTCCCCTTGTGAACCCTCTTGGCCCAGGAGAAAGATGAATGACATCGTCTTCCTCTGCCGAGCCCGCACCCTCGATGTCCATCTCCTCCTCAATAGAGACCGAAGTCCCCTTGGGAGGAACAGGGGCCGCCAGAGGAGCCATCTCCGCAGAGGGGAACTCCTCTTTATGGCATTTGGACGCAGCGCGACCAACAGCTGTAGCTGTAGGCTTGGGTCGGAGACCCGAAGCCGACCCCTGGGAACAGGAGACCGACGGGTCCGCGCTGGAGGCGGAAGTCCTTAAGGTCTGGCAAACCTTTATAGGACCGGCCAACAAGGCCCCCGAAGTAGCAGAACATTGGGGGGATTCCGCACTGCTATAACATCTCCTAGAGGAGAGACCAACCCCTATGGGTTCCACGAGTGAAGACCCATGGGGTAAAAACCCAAACCCCTGAGGGAATGGGAACGGTCCAGCGGGCCGGGAGTGACCCCAGAACTGGCCAAGATGGCCTGCCTGAGTCTGGGGCTGGACATCCTGTCCAAAGGACCAGGATGAACCGCCACTCCCACCAGGTGGAAACCCAGACATGTACAGGATAAGCCCGTAACTGCTGAGTAACTGTTGGTACCCAAAACCATCCGCAGGTTGGCCTGGGCGACCCAGGAATAAGTGCCCGCAGGCACCCCTACTCCCTGAGCCCGGGGGAAAGGGAGACCGGAAACCGGACTCCTGGCCTGAAGCCCCAAACCCTTGGAGGAAAACCCCCTGGGAAACCCTGCACTGGGAAATCTGGATTGGGACGGAAGTCCCAGAGCCAGAAGCCTGTGAGGGTGGGAAAACAGACCCCGCGCTGACACCAGGATTAGTGAACTCAAGTGTCACTAATCCCCGTAGCCACAGACAATCCTGACAAAAAGTCTGTGGCCCCTGAACCTATACCCGAAGGCACAGTTCCGGAGTCAAAGCGGCCCCCACCAACGACGCCACCTGGCGTGCCGAGGTCCCTGAAGGAATCAGAGACCTCGACCGGAAGTCCCTTTCCGACGGTAACACCGCCGCCTATCGAGAGCTACCGGCCAATTCGACCCTTGACTGCGCCGAGTCAGGGTCGGGCTGCCCCCCCCCCCCCCCTACTCCAGGACGCACCTGGACAGGGGGAGCCACCCCCTGCTGAAGGGCGGAGCTCGGTGGAACGAGAGCACCCCCAGCAGGAACGCTCTGGTTCAGAACTTCAGGAGGGAGGTCTTAAAAAGCTTACTTCCCTTACCGGAAGAAGAGGACGAATCCCTCTTCCGGCGGAAAGTTAGCTGGAAAGGCATGGAAGCCTAAGCAGCAGACTCCATGTGCAAACAAAGTTCACATAGTGAGGTCTGGCTGTAATGTCGGCAAATGGGACAGGTATCATGGGGTTCCCATTATCTATAGAAATAGGGACATCCATGCGCTGACCCCCGACGTAAACCCGGCACCTTTATCCAGCATCGAAACAATAAAAAATTGTAACAATGAAAACAAGGATAAAAAGTTTTCTAACAATCAAAAAACTACGAACGAGATCATAAAACCTACCGTACGCAGCAAGATTGTACTGCAAAAAAAGAAAACGGTCGTACAAAACGGCCGACAAAGCAGCAAGAAAACAATTTCAACTTCACGAAAATCCGAGTGACGAGACAAGTAGTCACTCACTCGAACACGCGGAGTAAAAACACGGCCGGAAACGAAGTTCTCGAACAATCAAAAAACTACGAACGAGAGCACAAAGCCTACCGTACGCAGCAAGATTGCACTGCATAAATAAAACGGCCGTACAACACGGCCGACAAAGCAGCAAGAAAACAAATTCCAACTTCACGCAAATCCGAGCAACGAGACAAGTAGTCACGCACTCTAATACGTGGAGGAAAAAACGGCCGGAAATACGGTCAAAATAAACAAATGACAATACTTAATTTCACAATATAAGTTGGGAGATGGGTTTATAGACTACTAATAGAGTAACAATATACTCAAACGACAATGGCAGTACGAAGAGAAGGAGTAAGAAAAGCACTTAGCTCAGACACCTCCGCACTCGTCGGCAGCCATAAAGGTAAGAGGAAGGGAGATCACTCTGCGTTCCTGCCGTGATGGCTCATGGATCGTAGGGAGGGCGGGATTGTTTTTCTTTTGAATCTTTTGTTGTTGGGATACAAAGATGGGTGTAGGTACTGTATTTGCATACTAAAGTTATGGTAATTATTACTGAAATGAAAATGGATATTCAACATTGAACATGCTCAGACGTTTATAGATTTAACGAGTTTTATCTGTAGACATAGGATAACAAACATAATATATTTATGTGTAAATTATACCATGTAAAAATATGAAGATGGAAATATTAAAAACTTTTGGATACACCGTATATATGAAAAATCTAAAGTATGTAGTTATTGCATATAAAATAGGAAATAAATACACACTGAAATAAATATAATTTTCACGTTAATTGGATACATTAAAATAAAGAATACACGGGCTCCTGATGACAGGGGAATGATAAAATTACATAGTTGATGATGAAATATTATTTTCAAAATGTATAATCTCCAAGACTTATTCAAATTTCAAAACAAGAAAATTGATAAATAACATGTTACTCTGCAAAGAGCAGAGCCTATTGTTTTAATGAAAAGGGGAGCAAAACTTGAAAGTCTGGTTTTACTATATTGTGTGATTCTTTTCAAATACGATGTCTGGAAGTAATTTTCCGTTTCCAGGGAAGCTAAATATAAATAAGACCTGTTTGTGTAACCAAGATATAAATTTATAATGTTGTAACAGATTATTTGCATTTGTATCCAAAAATTGGAAAAAACTTGAAAAAGGAAACAAAATATTTCAGATATAAAAGTATCAGCGAAATAACAGTCTCGACACTCTCTTGAAATCAATTTAACATGGTAGAACATTAGCAGTTAAATGGAGTATTGAAAATTATAAGGGTATCTTAATAACTGAATGCTAGATAATAGCTTTTTCATATTTGAAGTAGATAGCAAGAATGGAAATATGATTCACATACATCATCATAATCTTCTTAAATACATTGTGAAGACTGAACTTAAATTTTGAGATTGAAATGAATTTGAATAACTTTTATTGATTATTATAAAACAGCAATATAGCAAACTAAATGAAACTATTGAAAACTGAACATATGTCAAACAGATTGCCAGTCTCAAGTACACACTGGTATCTAACAGAATCAGGATCGGTAATAAACAACATCTACTGACAAAGCTAACACATAATACTTTTCATGGACACTCTATAGTAAAACCAATCAATCATCTATGCAATATTCTGAATCATGCATGTTGTAATTCAGTGCTTCAATTCAAAATTGTCAACGATGGATATATAAACATTAACAGCAATTTCACAAACCAATAAGAGTCTAATCTTATCAAATATTACCTTGACAGTTTGAAGGTACATCTTAATTTTCAGATATGACAGCTATAAAACTTAACAGGGGAACTATTGTAATTATTTAAAAAAAATTGTTATACAAATATTTAGATATGAAATCTTCACCAATAATGAAATTCCGGTAATCAAATTCAACAAGAAAAAAATCAGTTAGATATGGAGAGAAAACTACACAAAACAAGAAAGAAATGATCAGTACAAATGAAATGAGACAAATGAAAAATCAACAAATAAAATCAGATTTTATTCTCCAATTAGCATCCCTAGTTAGGTAATAAGAAATGGAGTAAAATCCAGAGAAAGGAGATAATTGGAGATGAAAAAGACGGCAGAGCAACAGTCTCACATCAACTCTATAATAGATAAACACACCAGGCAGGATGGCGGTATGTAGCAGTGTTATAATAACAGATCAGGACTAGTCACACTCACCTCCTCTCGGAGAGTTTCACTTTCGTTGTCACCTTCAATTTTAACCCTCACCACTCCTGATTTGTCCACAATATCTTATGTATGCTTATACTCTTTAGGATGTACTCCTTGTGTATGATGTAAAGTTTCCATATCTCTAAGAAAATATCAACCTTTAATTAATCAAATTATAGAAACTATTTTAATCTCAGTGAATATAATATGCACACTATAAAATATTAACTTAATCTGCTTAAATGACTTTGGCAGTAGAATTATACAACGGCAAACCTCAGATGAAAACCAATTCTAAAATAGGAAATGGAATATCAAGAAAAAACAAGTAACATCCGAACCTAAGAAACTTTAGGAAGTCAACCTGATCTCGCTGGGTACAAAAATTGATTTATATTCCACAAATACTCGGGAAGTTTTCAAAATGCCAGTGCCTTTGACTTGATATGATATTTGCTATATCTTCATGGATTTCACTCAAAGTTGCGTAAATACGAAAAGTTTGAGCAAAATCGTATCAAAATCTAGGAAAATTACATTATCTTAAATGCTTCAGCCAATCAGAGTCAATTTTCAAAACACCAGAAGTATACTGCTGATATCATATCAACACAAACTGCTGGCTACAGCAACCTTACCAACTAGCTCTCTTGGAACTTGAAAGGTCTCCGCAGCATATTCAAGCATACTTGGTGCTTTTTTGACAGATTCTTGCGACTAGAAATAGAACAGAATGAATATGAAGGCATCCTCCAGCTTATTTTCAACGGACAATCATATACATGTTGCACTAGAAAATGTTACTAAGAAATGAAAGCACTTGCTCCCGGGCAATTACTGTTTGACAAATTTCTATAAACAGTTACAGTGGCGTTCACCTTAGATATCTTTTTTATTTACTTTTAAGTGAATTTTCTAAGCTTTACACCCTTCTGTGTTTGAAAGCAAATTGATTCTTACATATAAAGAAAATCTCTTAGAGAAATTCAAAATATATCCACATAAATATTGAAAAGTCAGGTATTTCAAAAATGCCTATTGATCAGCTTTTAAAGTAGATCTAATTTGAAGCTTACATCTCCATGAACCTTAAATGTACATGTGCTTTCATCAAGTTCAATTCCTGTGATTCCATCAACACGACGAGCCAGTTGAATGTTGGCCCAGCAGGTCCTCTCTTACAGTGAATTCCTCCATGTAATCTGACCGAATCTTAGTATTCTGTAACAAACATTTCCTGCTTATTACAACATTAAATTATTTCCCCAACGCACCACTATCAATAACTCAGAAACCTCCATTTCAGTAATTCAGGTCAGGGTAAAATGTCCGTTGCATTAAGGACATTTCTTTCTTGTATGTGGTAAGACATTATCTTAGGATGTATGTTTTTTTGTCTATCATGTCTGCTGTATATCTATTGTTCATGTTTGTAGATAATTTCTTAGGTGACGGTCTAGTTTTGTAAGCATTGCTAGAGCATCAGACTTGTTTCTCGAAAATTATACAATTGCTTCAGCCCTCTTATTTTGGTTAATTCTAGTATTTACCATATGAATCATATGAATAAAAGTGGGGAAAAAACTAGAACCAATCAGGCACATATTTTAACATCCTCGAGGTCCCAGGAGAATATCATAGTGTGCAAGGTGCTTTTTGAAAGTGGATAAAATTGATGGTACAAGAAAGAGCCACCAATCCTGAGGAAAACCTGGCCTCAGAAGTTGTTGCTCTTTCTTATTGCTTGATATGTATAATATGTTGTACTATATGTTAAGCTGAGTAACTTTATATGACTTTTGTCCATTGGGGACAGACCACTATTTACCTGTAGCCTTTTAACTGCCTCTTCTGTTGTCTGTTTCAGAAGTAATTTCTGTCGAAGGTACCTTAAGTGCATGTTCCCTAACATGATCGCCCGCTTAATGACAGAGTCACTAGTAGACCAAAAATAACAGGTTACAACTTTATCGCTACATCATCTCATTGTGTAGAACAAATTGGACCAGGACATCTATTCTGTACAACAGCTATTCCAATAAAACGTCTATCCGATCCCATGACTTCATGTTTGCTTATATCAGTTCCCATATAATTGAACTAATGATTTAGTAAAAAGTAAGAACATCCCATCCCAGGACTCCAGGTGTTCCTCAAGGCACTTTCTATAGGATTTAACTGATACTTTGGTTAGAAGTAAAAGTATATCAAATATTTTTTTAAGAATAGGCATTGATCAAACAAAATGGTGCATCCATCAATCTAACTCTGCAATGATTGGTGTTATATACATGCATCTCATGGGATCTCAGAATACCTATCTGTAGTGAAGTCATTTTTTCTTTAAAGTAAAGAAATTTGATAATAGGATATAAGGCATCCCTCAATTTAACTATGCAACATACACAACATTGATCTCTGAAACCACTAGATACTTACCAAAACAACACATGTACCTTCATTATCATTGTATGATACAGACACAGCATTACAGTGCTTCTTAAATTCTGTGTGAGCATTTTCATCCTTACAACTGAAACCAAAGATATGCTGGATAAAACCGAAATGACTAATTATAAGCAAATGCTGTTTTATATATACAAAATAAAAAGCCCAATAGGCCTGTATGACTCACCAGCTAGTATTCAATGGTTTTTACATTTACATTTCACATCAATGACATTCATCATCGTTAATGATAAGTGGTTTGAAGGTTTAACAATATGACACATATAATATGGACAAGGTCATTTCCTATCCCAAACATTGTTTGGCTTTGTCACAGTAACCTTCCACCCAGATAGACATTTTAGTTCATCAGAAGAAGTTGTTTGAAAGTTTAAACAATATTGGCTCCTGTGAACTTGAATATGAGTGAAGGTCATTTCTTCTTTGCAAATTTTATTAGGCTTCATCCAAGAAACTTTTGAACGAAATAATTAAATAATTCTAAGCCTTTTGATTATTAAGAGGAAGTGGTTTGAACATTTTTAACTTGTGGCAATAAAAAAGGTCAAGGCTATCTCTTTTCACCAACATTGCTGGGCTTCATCCCAGGAACTTTCCAGCCAAATACCATTATTCTTGTCCTTATGGTTATTGAGAAGAAGTCATTAAAAAGAAATGACAATTATTGGACAGACGATTTACACCAAACTATGACAGAAACTCAGGAATTTGGCCCTCTTGGCCTTAAGAGTTAAAAACATTCGTGAATGCAAGTAAAGATCCTATAATAGTTATCACGTTTTGATGAGACTGTAAGATGCATTTATCATTTTCTATTATTTTGTAGTTTTGTTAATAGCAAAGGTTTTGATTATGTGACATTTTGGTCTTTAAAATAAATCATTTAAAGTTGAGAATCTGGGAAAAGACTTCTTCATGGATAATGATAAAAATCTCCCCAAAAGAATCAAAGGAAGCAATAAATTTCTTATTCATGTCTACATACAACTTCTATTTCAATTTCTATGACGTACTTGTTAAAGCTAGTTTTTGTTAAAGGTTTACTATAAAGAAAAAACAAAACATATTTAGTCAATATATTTCTCCCGTTTCTTAGCAATATCAGAACATCTGTCATCATATACCATATAAATAATATTTTAATCGAAGATAGGCATTATCTCCATGCTACGTACAAAATAACTACATTACATTTCATCATCTTTAGAAGAAATTTTCAGTGTTGAACTCGTGCTTCATTTAATACACAGCAATTCTTTTGACAAAATGTATAAACTAGGATTGTCATAAAAAATTTATATACACACAACTCTTTTGCATATGGCTTACTTTTTTCGCATCATTTAGCTTCAGGAATTTTTCAAGCTGTAACTTTATTGTCTTTTTAAGATTGTTATTAATTATAAAGTGACCTTGACCTTTTTTGCAAATTTGTTGACCTACTTGGAATCAATAGTTCTTATCCTTTTCAGTGGGACTTTGTATATGATGATGTGTCCCATCCAGTAAACTCCATAACTGCAAACTCTCCTTTGAGCATTTTGACACGAGCTTGCCACCAGCCATACTCTTCTGCCTCATTAGCCCGGGAATACACCTGGAATTGAAAGTTGATGACCATGATGCATATATGTAATACATACGATTGATTTATTATTTGGGATTTTATCAGTCTTTCATGGGTATAAGGATATGAAGGATAAAGAAATTCTAGATCTCTATCAAAACAAAGGATGCTCATTTTACCAGACTGTGTCGCATCTGAGAATTCTATTATAATAAGAAGATTTCAGATTTATCTTTCTTTGTCCGATCACATATGAAATTGAAAGTCTCTTAAAAACTCAAGTACATGGACTATCTTTTGTTCAAGTTCAAACATTTCAGTACAGAATCAATTCTAACAAGTACCAGTACTAGTGTCAATACAAACATGTGTTTATAACAAGGAATTATAAACTAGAGTCTATAGTACCAGAACTAGAGTCAATACAAACATGTGTTTATAACAAGGATTTAGAAATTAGAGTCTCTAGTACTAGTGTCAATACAAACATGTGTTTATAACAACGATTTATAAGCTAGAGTCCGTAGTACCAGAACTAGTGTCAATACAAACATGTGTTTATAACAAGGATTTATAAACTAGAGTCTGTAGTACCAGAACTACAGTCAATATGAACATTTGTTTATAACAAGGATTTATCAACTAGAGTCTGAAATACTAGTGTTAATCCAAACATGTGTTTATAACAAGGATTTAGAATCTAGAGTCTGTAGTACCAGTGTCAATACAAACGTGTTTATAACAAGGATTTATAAACTAGAGTCTGTAGTACTAGTGTCAACACAAACATGTGTTTATAACAAGGATTTATAAGCAAGAGTCCGTAGTACCAGTACTAGTGTTAATACAAACATGTGTTTATAACAAGGATTTATAAGCTAGAGTCCCTAGTACCAGTTCTAGTGTCAATACAAACACGTGTTTTAACAAGGATTTATAAGCTAGAGTCCGTAGTACCAGTACTATATAAGATGAAACACCATGACGTAGTAGATTTCACATTATAAAATGATGCTGCATCCTGACAAATAAAGGAGAAGATAGTTTTGCTTTAAATGATGGAGAATATACAGTTGTTTATGTACAGTTCCTTGATGTAACAGAACACCAAAAGGTGTTCATTTGGGAATATATTTCCTTCGGCAGTAATTTTTATTGTCACATTCATGAAAAATGACTAATTATTGAAATAAGGTATTGCCATGCATTTATGTAACTTAAATTTTAGGTCATCAAATCAGTTTTATTTAATGTCAATCTAATCATAATTCAAACTCAAATTCCATAAAAGCAGGGCAAAATATGAACAAAAGAGAGATGTACATGAAGAAAAAGACCACATGTTCTAGGGGAGTAAGCATCTTCTGCTTCATTGATGACACCTGCCATGTAAACCTTGCTCAATCTAAGTAAGTAATGTTATGTTCTCAAATGAGAACAAGGTATACAACAACAGAGCCAACAAGCAAGCTAACGAGCAGTAAATACGTCCAGCCTCATGTTGCATAAATAAATAGAATATTTCTAAATGAGATCACTATGGTGCGCATAAAACTTCCCCATAATTTTCATCAACCTGCATCTTTTGAACCCTTGTTTCACGAGTTTGTCAGTCAGTTGACGACTTCTTGCAGGAAGGAAAATTGTGATAATGGAAACAGGCCCTTGAATATCGAATCAACTGTAACCTGTAGATACCATAGGTTAAGGATGTAGGGATATTGCTATCCAGAAATGGAAAAGAATTTAAAAAGAAGTGTAATTCTAAGCACCACAATCAAACTGACTGAATGTGTATCAATATGACACTAATCGTTTGATATCTAGGATATTTTCTTATTTTGTTGATTGTTTTACAATCATTTTAATTTCTGACTTTTCATGAAAGTGAAACTGATTCCCATCATTCAGTTGTTCTCAATATCAATGTTGACTGATCGGTATATACACATGCAATATGATGTAACGAAATATGCAAATGGGAAGACAATGCAATCCAGTCAATTTTCAATAGCAGAAATTTATATGACCAACAGATATTGTTTTAATTATCCAAAGAGAAATGCAAATCTTGATCTCATTGCAGAATCTGCCAAGGTTGAAGTTAAGTATAAGGAAGAGCATACAAAGCAGAGACCTCATTTTTTCACTTTTGACCCAACCCCAGATAAACTGCCAACTTAAAATGTGAAAGCCTTCATCAATTAAAGATGTTTCAGACTAAGTATGGTAAGAATTAGCCTGGGTGTTTATTACTGTAGGAGGTGTAACTTTTTACGACTAAACCCAAAATTTCCCCCTTATCAGCCCCACCTCTAAATGATTGGTAATTTTAAAAAATTGAATGTGCATAAAACATGCAGACTGCAGAACAATTTTAACGATGACGTTCCAATGCCAGGCATATTTATTTAGGCTTACTTTGTCATAGTATGTTCATTTGACCATTTTGAAAAAAAAAAGTCGAGAACCTGTCAAATCTTTCTAACTGGCAGATTTCTGTAATGGCGATACAGTTCTAGCTGGTATATATTTCACTTTATTTATATGATCATAAAACAGCAAACTAATGTGTGCACTGACTTCTGACTCGTGCAATGTAGTTGGGAACATGTGCGACAAGCTTATGTTAATTCCTTTATATATATATTTAACAAGACAGTATTATGATTTTTTAGTCAGCTTATATATACATACTGGAAATGTTAATGACTTTACAAAGGAGTTTATTTTATGCAGCACATAAATTTGTAATTTTGTAGTAAAGACTTTTGTAACCACTTAATTTGCTTTATTTGAAATTTTGTACAACAATAAAAAAAAATGGTGTTTTTCTACACCCCATTTACAATGAAATTTTCTATGTACTTGTTGCATCGTTAAGTCCTCAGAATATGCAGACACTTTCACAAACATTTGGGGGTTTTCGCTGTCATGGATGACAGTTACAGCTCCATATCACTGGATATTTATGGTGATGATTTTAAACATTTCCACAAAGTTAATTCAACTTTCAGTGATAATATATATACCACTGATAAGATATGGTCAATTATTTCTGTGGATTCATATGCTATGTTACCATCCTGTGAAACAACAGGCGCTAAATTGCAAGCCCAAAATGTACATGCGCATATTTTCATTGTATTGTAATGATTGTTTTTATTTACATACAATCTATAATTGTAAATTAAACACATTATATTCCTAATAAAAACCAATGCTTAAAAAATGATATGTCCAGTGAAGAGAATAAATTTACAATTACCTAGGGATTCCTGCTAAGGTGTGCAAAATCACGTACCACCAATTTCGTAACCGCTAAAGGATTACAACGAATACGAAAATGTTTTGTTGTTTTGCTTTCTTGGAACCATTAAAATATTGAAACTCGTAGCATGTATTTCGTTGTTTTGATTTCTTAGTTCCATTTAAATAATTTTATTAGTAATCAGACTCATACTATTGGAATGAATATTTGCAGTCTGACCGATGACACGAAAATGTTTGGGAAGCCGGAAAATCAAAGGTCAGAAAGATACAAACGTGACGCATAATTTGGGCATGGTTCCTGTATAACACCATTTTGTCGTGTAACGGAAGATCGTCTCGAATTAAGATGTTTTTCTTATCACCGTCTATGCCGTGTATGGAGTTCACGATCGAGTCCACCGGCCGTTTAGGTCTCACTTGTACACTGTATCCCCACATTACCAAATATTTCTATCTCATCTTCCCTGGAACAGTCCACTCAAGAGTTTGGTCAGTAACACTTCGGGTGCCAGTGTCTGAATGAAACCATCCATTTGGACGAAGCGTTTCTTTTGTTTTAACGGTATTCTCTTGACTAATTCACATAGACCGACTTGAAGTGACAAACGTTTCTTCTGTTGTTTCGTCAACGGCACTCGACATTGTAATATTGAATGCACCCAACGATAGCTTCGTCGGCCTTTTCGAGGATCACTTTACACGTTGCAGGTTAAGCTCGACATGAATACTGCGAGTCTCTAAAGCGGTTTTCTAAAGAACGACGACATGTTTCGAATGATTAAAACTTGTTTTGATATTGTCCGGGAAATGTATCTTGTTTCAGGTTAACTAGCAAATAGTTGTGGGGTTTAGACGTTGCGTCGTTGTAAGCTTATCGCAGAAAATGCTTCCTCCAGGAAATATCTGTTGAGGCAGACGTCAGATTTGCGAAGTGTCTCTAGGATGCATCGTCATCAAGATGTAATGGGCGTTTCCGTGTTCTTTGTTTAAAAATATAATGATGTTTCCGCGATGACTCTTCTTCGTAAACAAGGACGTCACTCGTGCATCCACTTCCGTCATCAGATCGTCAAAGTGCTTGAGCGAAGCGTCCAAACGATCTAGATTAGGTTAACCTTCGTGGAAAACGATGCCTAGAAAGTTTGATATTCTTCGTTATATATGTGATCGGGTACGGGAGTCATCATTTCTGTCTTTCCACTTTCAGTAGGGCCAGCAATCAGGCACGTAAAGTGATGTATCCAAGTTAAAAAATGACTTACGGGTGCGGACGGCAACACGTGTGTAGGTACGTCTCTGATTGTGAAAGGATATTTTTTTTTCGATAGGCACACTTTTTTCAGTGAAATGTCAGAGAGTTGGATATGTTTTCTTTGCGGCATATCACTTTACGCATGCTTCATATTTTATATGTACTGTCTTAGAATATATCCTCGTGTAAAATTGAAAACAATGTGGACAAGCGTGATCGTCAGGCATGATGTAAATATGGTGTAAATATATCTTTGATTCCCCTTGTTTATGCTTTTTTCGGGGACACATCATTGGCATAGATTGAGGAATCGAATTTTTAACAAATGCGGATTTTCAGGAATTTTTCTCCACTTGCTCAACTTCACAAGTCCGACTTTGTCGAGATAATAACATGCCTTTTTTTGCATTTACAAATATTTGACTTTTACATAATACCCACCCTAAATATTTTGTGTTACATAAATTTTCTTTTTACAAAGGAGAACATTTCCTGGAAACAAAGTGTATTCTTTTGCTACGTCAACATTTCAGACGGCAAATGGTACTGGTATGTACTATAAAGTGTTGAATAGAAAACTTCTAACAAGACATTTTAAAGGTATTTTCACACCATCATACTAGTGAATTATGTATAAAACACAGAAAATTTTATATGTTACAGGTGTCATTGCGGTAACTGTAGTCTTATGCCTACCATTGAGGAGTGCAGGTGCTGTAGTGAGATACACAGTGTACTGAACACAAAAGACGACATACCAGGGATACAGTGCATAACAGACCATCCTGGAATTGGGCCAGTCTGTTTGGATATTTATATGCTGAGAACATCATATTTCCAGTACAGACAACTTCATGGAGAGATACCAGAATGCCCCGAGTAAGTTATGATGTTTATTTACAGCATCAAATTTATTATTATAAAACTTGAAACATAATAAAATAATTCATTTGTTAAGATGATATTTTAAAAATGATGTTACAAACTTGTCTATCAAGTTACAGGTCTAAAATACTGCAAAAGAACCAATAACCAGACAAGATAAAATAGATTTTCAATACTAAGTCAACATTTCTGAAAATCTGGTTTGGAATTGTTACACATATGTATTGTAGAGTTACTGGTGTTTACCATAATTCAATAGAGCTTGCATCCTCCACAGATTAATGGCAAACTTGGCATTAACAAGGATTACAGAATATAGTGTTCTTGTTTTATCAGGAGATACCGCTATACAGCATACAGACAATTTGTGAGATGGTGCTGGGGTACTTGGGGAAAAAGCATAAGAGTGCCATTACCTGCGTGTGCTGTGAAGATTATTAGAGAAACATTTCCTGCACCAAATGGAAATTTTAAAGGTTTTAATTTTGTGCATTAAAAATACGTGTTGAAAACATTGAAAGAATGACATGAAACAATAAAATTATAATTAATATCTGATTGTTTTTTATTCATATATACACTTGAAACTGTAATAGGATCTGTAAGTCTCGTCATGTGACCTGCTAGAAAATACCACTTAACTTGAACAATCATAACTATGAAAACGGAGGATTACCAGTAGGTACGTTTTTAAAAAATGTGCATTTTGTCGAAATTGAAAATACTTTTCTTCTATAAGACTACTACCTAAAACGTCAGTTGGTACACAGAAGTAAAGTAAAACAGACCTGCAGACCATATTAAAAAATAGTTGAAAATTCATGTACATGTATGGTATTTTAAATGTTCATGTTAAATCTTGATTCCATCAATGCGACAGCTTCCATTTTTACAGGTCTGACAAAATCACTACAGAGTGGTGGGGGTTGGTCTTTAAGTAGCATATCCTCCACTTGCATCGTACTTTTTTTCTGCCACTTGTAGCACTTCTGCCATCAGTTCATGTACATAGTCTGTAAGATAAAAAGTACATATACAAGTACACTGGTTTTATTATTTTTTCCAATCACTATTACACAAAATCTGACACTATTGCTAGTAAAGACTTTAAAAGTTTTGTATACATGGACATATTTTCCTGCAACTAAAATGCAAGTTGTTAATTGAAGAATCATGTACTGCAATATATAGAATACTGAACCTAACCTAAAAGATTAAACTCGTCTTCATATGCAACATAATACTTACCAAATGTTTGTTTTGTTTTGACTTTTCTGACAGTGTATCCACCTTTCTTCTGTTTAGGGTAGATTATCTTAAACATTTTCTCCCCAGCAGATGTCATGGCTTGTTCTCTTCTCACATTTTCATTGTGGTGAAGTGCAGCTAGAATCACCCTATTCAAAGAGATGCAACAAAAATTTAAACTTTCCTGATTAAGTATCATCAATATCTTAAGAATTAAGACTGGCTGCCTAAATCTTTTACATATTCATTTTAACATATCTTACATCTAGCTACAACACTAAATCTCTTTTAACATTGCAATATTCACCACAGGAGTTTTGAGACAGGTAGACTACTAGTGAATAATGATATTTTCACAACCTGTTGATGATGTTAGATCTTGAGACAGATATACATATACGATCAACTTGTCTGTACAAATTGATGTCAAAAGAAATAATAGTCTTATGAGAATCATGTGATCATATGCCTGCACAACATTCCATTGAATGAAAAGCCATGCATTTTAGGGGCAAACTGGTTAACTGTTGAGTGGTACCCTTATAGTTCTGAAGTTTGGTGATGTGTTGATAGCATGAGAATGTCCTTTTTCATTTGTGGTGACGTCAACATCAGTTCTAGCTTCTCCATTACTTTACTCTCTGAAAAGTGAAAGTGAGGATTTCAAATGATGAAGTAAAAATATAATATGGGATCATAAGGAATTTAGAACACGAATATTAATTCCATGCTAAGAACAAGAAACTAAAGATACCATTTTCCTGGATGTGCTTTTCATTCAGGTGAAAAATGTCATTGCTAAAGAAATTAGGCACTTATGATTTGAATTATTGATACGTCACCAATTTCGAGCCAAATGAAAAAGTAAGCAAGTTAAAGGTAGGATACACAATAATTGTTGTCATCTTGAGTCAATGCCATACCAGGAAAAATACCTTTTTTTATCTATTTCTTTTTCCTTTCCTGTGTTCTCAAGTCATCATGCAGACAGCAAGGAAACAGATCACCATGACCATCATGGATATTTTGGACATGGTTTACCACAGAAACCCACTTCTGGTACATCAAAGCGCCATCTGCTGAGGGCGTTGATGCAGGAACCCAGTATAAGTGATTGGTTATACTTTTTATCCAGCTTTCAAATTCACCACAATCTCTTTCTTTTGACAGTGCCAACAGCTTCTTCTTCAAACCTAAAGAATATTTCATATGCATTTTAATACAAAACCTATTATATTTCAACATAAAAAATTATTCTAGACTTTAAATTGAGTTGTGTGTTCATACATTTAATTCCATTTGATATTTATTTAGTCCTTAGGACATGGTCTACAAAGTATCTGAAGTAAAGCCCTTAGCAAAACAAAACAAACTGAAATCAAACTATTTACTACGATGACTGTTAATACTGATTGGGCTTCTTGTTTTGTTTATGCTAAACACAAACACTTAAAGAAAATGCAATACCTTTTGCAACATACCATACATCAACGCAGTGATTGGTCTCTGTCATGTTCTCCCTCACCCACTTTCTGATCTGGACATGTCGGTCGGTGACTAGGGTATCTATGTTGATCCCATGGCGTTTTAGATTGTCCACGCTCCGTATCAACCCTTCCTTTTCCATGTTGACGCTATGTTTGACGTCATTACTCTGAAATTGATCAAAATCTTAACATTACACAATGTACCAAAATTAACATAACTCGTGTTCTGGAAAGTACATGTAGATTGTAGATATATATATATATATATATATATATATATATATATATATATTGAAATTGTTTCTGTTTGTATTCATGACCACATTTTCTACCAGCAGTTTCTACATAAAATTAACGGGGGCCACAGTCGTCCAGTGGTTAAGCCTGGTCTCAGAAATTGTGGAATATATAACGAATGGCATTTTTTTTCTTTTAAATTTTTACGATTAGAAATACCAACCTGAACTAACTGTATATCTACGACTGTCCCTCTGTCCAAATCCATCAGTGAATAACTGCAAAACTTAGCACAGTGTCCCGGGGTATCGCATCGGCCATCTCCTCCTATATCAATGTTATTGTCACTTTCGCACATTTCTGCAAAATATTTCACTTGATTTTCTGTCCACATCCTTAGAATTGTAGACTGTAAATAATGTCGCTGATGCTTGAAAAACGTGTCATGGCATATTACCGGGATGTCCATAAAGTTAAAAATTCTTAGAGTCTTTGAGGGCAACGATCCAGAAAATAAAAAGGTCGCAGACAGCTGGACATTTCCTCTTGGAAGGGATCCCACCATTGACTAGCTTCTCCATTTAAAGGTCCTACCACACATGTCACATTCTTGATGCACACAACACATGGTACCGATCATTCGTGTCACTTCTACTTGGCATGGTGATAAACAGGGTCTACATTTATCAAAAAGTTCAAGCAGTTTGCTTTCTTCAATTATGAGGAGTCTGTCTCTGCTCTGTCCACTGTGTAGCACATCTCTGCAATACATAAATGTTCATGACATTCTACATACATAATTGCCATAATATGAACGAGGGCACTATGACATGATATTATTATAGAGAAATGATATAAGCAAGACTGAGGTTAGGGTTATATTCCATCTTGGGACAACACCGTTAGATCAAAGTGCCATCCAAAAAGGCAATGCAATGATGTTTTAGTACACAATGGATTGATATGACTATAAAAGCATGTCATAACAAAGTCCTGAAACACAAGCCAGAAAGTATCAAAATAAATTATTTTTCTCTGCAAAATGTCAGACATGTTACAACACATACTCATTTTCTTCCATATCTAACTCTGTGTCCGAGTCGTCTGGACCAGAATCCGGATGATAGGAGTGATCCAGATCTTTACTGTTGGTCTTGAAAAGGTCCAAATGATCTTCGTACTCACTATCACTTTCCAAGTTGGTTTCTTCATCATCACTTGGAATTTATATATACAAAATTGTAGCAAATATATATTCAACTCACTTAGCACCCATCCACTCTCACATTCATTCAATACAACCACTTATATTTGATTAAATACACAGAACCCATTTTTCTTAACCAAGTCTCTACATATATAGTTCACTGTCTGCCCAAAGCTCCCGTCTCTCCAGGTGGTACCACACAGTCCTTCACTCTCTTAGCGCCACGATGTTACGCGAGATACGCGGTGACCCCTCCGTAGACCACATCAGTCAAGGTAGTGTCATGATCGGGTTCCTTTGGTTATAACAATTTCATCAAGGTCCTGATTCTGGTCACAAACTCCAGAGGAAGGCCTCAGTATATTTAGGGTCACATATAGAGGTATCTCAACTCCTAGGTAGCTTCATCGCCAACACCCTGGACACACAGTCTTGGTTCTCAGAAATATGGCACACTGCCTCTCTGACACACAGTCCTGGTTCTCAAAAGCATGGCACACAGCCTCTGGGACACACATTGCTGGTTCTCAGAAACATGCCACACAGCCTCTCGGACACACAGTCCTGGTTCTCAGAAACATGGCACACTGCCTCTCTGACACAGAGTCCTGGTTCTCAGAAACATGGCACACAGCCTCTCGGACACACAGTCCTGGTTCTCAGAAACATGGCACACTACCTCTCTGACACACAGTCCTGGTTCTCAGAAACATGGCACACAGCCTCTCGGACACACAGTGCTGGTTCTCAGAAACATGGCACACTGCCTCTCGGACATACAGTCCTGGTTCTCAGAAACATGGCACACAGCCTCTCTGACACAGAGTCCTGGTTCTCAGAAACATGGCACACAGCCTCTCGGACACACAATCCTGGCTCTCAGAAATATGGCACACTACCTCTCGGACAGACAGTCCTGGTAACATTACATGAAAGCACCCAGCTTATGCATCCAACCCCGTAGCACCCAGCCTATAACATTGAAGAACCTTCCTGGTTCAAGTCCGGGGTTGAAATGACCGCACACACAGGTAGCACTTACCTGTGTTGCATGATTTGGTTACGCCTCAGTGACTCTTCCTTTCTGACTCAGCAATTTTTATCCAGGGACCTCGGGTAACCTCTACAGGACAGGTGTACACTGATCACTGTATAGGACACTGAGCGCCACCACTCTAAGGTACTGGATAGCTAACAAATAACTTACCGAGTACAGCATTCTTTTTTGACATGCACTGAGTATTATATTCGCCTTTCAACATATATGAATGTGTAAGGTATGTATGACCCATCCGAAGACGGGCAAGGACAACTTCG